ATTATGTCCGTCCACATGTCGCTCATGTTGTGACAGACTCCCTGAGACAGCAGTACATTCTGGTTCGCCCCTGACCAGCTGTTTCTCCGGACCTGCATGTTCCATATCGAGCACGCCTGGGATGAAATGCAGCATCATTTACGTTAAGTCCTGAATCAGCCATTGACGTTGGCTGAATTTGGATAAGCGTTGGCTCAGACATTGAACAGTATTTTCCAAGCTTTCTTCAATCGCTTAGTGGCGTCAATGTGTCGTTGTTGTTAAGTCTGCATCAACTCCAATGGTGGACACACACGATACTGAATTTATGAACTGACTTTTGGACACCACATCTCTTCAAGGGCGGGTCACGATGCCTTGTGTCAAAATCATACAGATTTCGATACTATCCAGTCAACAGTTAAATAGTGATCCAAGAAAATACCACAAATCATTGTTATCATTTTCTTGCAGTTAAAATGGTATAAAATCAAATAATGCACTTTATTCCAGCAGTAGCAGATAGCCCATATAGTCGTAGATTTATATATGTAGTTGTTTTGTTGTTTAACTCTGGTGTGTGATGATCAAGCTATATGACGTCGCTCTGTACTTTTGTATATAATCGTGTCTCGACCAGACAATCCAGTGATTGATATCTTGAACAACGACTAACGTAGCTGCGATGACATGCATCAACGAAGTGAATGAGTGAGTGAGTGCGCATATTACATTATGTATTATATTATATATTATTACATATGCTATTGGGATTTCTTTTAATACAAAGAGTCCCAAAGATTCCTTGGAATGAGTGAGTGAGTGAGTTTATTTTACGCCGCTTTTAGCAATATTCCAACAATATCACGGCGGGGGATACCAGAAATGGGCTTCACACATTGTACCCATGTGGGGAATCGAGCCCGGGTCTTCGCCGTGACGAGCAATCGCTTTAACCACTAGGCTATCACCGGAGTAGGCCATTATTAATGAGAACGGTCCTAATTTCTTCGCCGTGTAATTTTGTGACAGATTTGGGGTTTTTTTCACGAGCAATCGCTTTAACCACTAAGGCTACCCCACCGCTGTCATCAGCGGTGAAGTTTATGCCAAACTGAAAATGAGCGGCATCGTGCAAGTTGATTGTTCGAAACTGGAATTGCACAAAATGTTTTTGGAAGGTGTTGTGGTGTTCATTGCAACAACACTGGATCATTCTTGGGCTGGTATCGACAGATTAGCAACGGTGAGTGAGTGAGACCACCGTGACCGCTTTCAACACCATCATCTACACGAACATGACCGTCTTCATGACAACTAATAAGGTCATAGAAAAACACACAACGAAACCCTCCTCACGAGAGACGCTAAGACGTGGTGAAACAGGGTTTGACGACCCGTGAAAGATTATTTGACTCATATATTGCTGACACGAACATTTCGATCTGTATCTATGTGCGTGCGTGCACTAATTCCATATATCCACATATTATGCCAGTTTTATCCATCTGAGATACAATGCTGCAGCGCCAAAGATGACAAGAACAAATACCATATTTTAACCTGATTTTGGTATGACGCAGTTTGAAAATCGAACGCCCGACCTTCGATCCCCAGGCAGCCGCTCCATCCAATACACCAGTGTCTTCAAGATGGTGAGCATGGTTAACGTTTTACGCCACTTTTAGCAATATTCCAGCAACATCATGGCGGGGGACACCAGAACCCGGCCTTCGGCGTGACGAACGAACGTTTTAACCACTTAGGCTACTCTGCCGCCTCCATCCAGTCTACTCGAGATCCAACAGATCGTATTATCGATATCACATTATTATTATAATAATATTTGGATTTATACTCGTTATATACTTGTCACAATATCACGGCGGGGGACACCCAGATCGTATTATCGATATCACAGTATTATAATAATAATGGATTTACGCCGGTTTTGGCAATAGGCCTATTCCAGCAATATCACGGAGGGGGACACCAGAGTGGGTGAGTGAGTGAGTTTGGATTAACGCCGCTTTTAGCAATAGGCCTATTCCAGCAATATCACGGCGGGGGACACCAGAGTGGGTGAGTGAATTTGGTTTTACGCTGCTTTTAGCAATATGCCAGCAACATCACGGCGGAGGACAGCAGAGTAAGTGAGTTAATTTTTATGCCGCACAGCAATATTCCAGTGGCGGTCTGTGAATAATCTAGTCTGGACCAGACAATCCATTAGCATCGATTTACGCAATCGGGATACGATCGTCAAGGGTCAGGGACACCAGAAATGGGCTTCACACTGTGTACAAATGTGGGGAATCGAAACCGGGTCTTGTGTGTGACGCTTCTAACGCACAAAATGCACACACACACACACACACACACACACACCACACACACACACACACACACACACACACACACACACACACACACCTCGAGCTCATTAGCAATAATCGTGACCAGCGACGTTCCGAACGTCTACAAGTAACGCCGCATCGGCATCTGCGAAATTGGTTTCAGGCTGCAACTTTCACATCCTGGCATCTCTTGTTAAGTCACCGATTACAAGAGCACGATCTCTGTCCACGACCTCTAGCTGTACGTCCAATTTTTCTGAAATTCGAAATGAGAGCCTCAGCTTGTGGTTACTCGACTGGGGGCAAGTCCATTTGTAAGAGAGTTGAGGTTTTATCCCGACAACCGTGATGGCCACCGGCGTCGTTGATAGAGCGTTACGCTGACAATCATGTAGGTCTACGTTCTGCATTCGGTCGTAATGGTGTGCAGACATGGTTTTATCGATGGAACTTTGAGAGGTGTCGGGACCTGTGAACCATCCTCCATCCTTTCGTTAATCGGAAATGTGCTGGATGAAATGAAACATTGTTCCAAACCGGCTTCCAAATCATACCTAATGCGACAATCACACAAGTCTTTCTTCACCATCGTGTGTCGTCGATCACAGGCAAATTGTAGCGCAAATAGATTTGCGCAACAGAGAGATAAATGACCAGTCTCCCTATATGCGTGCGAAGATTGGTCATTTTTCTCTCTGAACTTTGCGCAAATATGCGCTTGCCTGTGCGTCGATGTGTTCTGATGACATTGCACTGGTTACCCATCCGACAACGTATCCATTACAAAATATTGGTACTGATGTTCAAAGCCTTGCACAACACGGCACCAGTTTATATCTCTCAGACCTTGTGCAAGAATATCAACCAACACGCCATCTGAGGTCATCACAACAACACATGTGCCAGACAGTAGTCAGCCGGACCAAAACATTTGGTGAAAGGTCTTTTCAGGTTGTCGGCCCAGCTTTGTGGAACAAATTACCCCTCTCTCTTCGATCAGTAGAGACATTCAGTACTTTCAAATCCAGATTAAAAACTCATTTGTTCAGCATTGCATACGGAGTTCAGCAGCGCTCTTGAGCAGTCTTCTTAAGACTGGATATTAGCGCTATATAAATGTATATCAATGTAATGTAATGTGATGATGTGGTGCTGTTATCTGGCTTGTGCCACTGTTAATGGTGGCCATACCCGATACTTATTTTCAGTCTGAGATGGTGTTACAGAAGACATCTGTTGACACCATCCTGATGAATTCATGTTTCATGGTCATCAGTATATCGATCTGTTGGAATTTGTTCTTTGCTAGGGTATATTTGATGATATTTCCCACGGTAATCAGTGATGCACCGGTATGTTTCTCTCTGCTCAGTCATCGAGTTCAGTGGATCGTCGGGTTGAATAATGTAAGAGAACAGTTTTACTAGACACTACAGTAAAATATTCAGTAACCAGACAATGATCGATCTTTGCGGATATGTGGCACTTCTATTAGTTGCTGCTGACCGTGAAATAAGATCCATTTTTCATCATTTGCTTGAAACGTCGCATCTACTGTAACAAAGAAGTTATCTGTCCATAAAAAGTGTTATATTGAATACTTCATCTTCAGACTGGTGTTTTTTGTAGATTATGAACGTAGATATTGCGATGTATACACCTTTCAGTTTGCTAAGGACCATCACTTTAAAAGTTTCCAGGCCAAATTGTCTGGATCTGTTGAAATACCAAACAATAGTTGGTGTAGAATTATTAAATGAGCAAATGTACCTCGTCCGGTGTCACACACCGCGAACAGAAATACGTCAGACCACCTATCAAAATGAGAGTGGCTGATCAAACCTGAAACGTTAAAAAATAAATCACGAAAACAAATTCATTGTCCAAAAAGCAAATGTCAGTAGCTCTAGAACATTACTTCAAAACTGGAGGCCAATCAGTTTGCTTTGTATAAACTTATCAGCTCCTGCATTGCACATAGATTAAAATTACTTTAGATGAACTTATTCACTCGAACCAAACTGGTTTTATAGCGGCCAGGACTATTAGTGAAAATACAAGATTGTTAAATGATATAATGTTTGAAACAAAGAAACAAAACATTCCTGGTTTGCTGATTCTGACTGATTTTGAAAAAAGCGTTTGAGACTGTTTCAAAAGATTTTATCAACCTAGTTTTACTTAAATTTGAATTTAGCCCTGAAATGATAAGATGGATAAATATATTAACTTATGAAACAACATCTTGTGTTATCCAACATGGTAATGTCTCTGACTTCTTTGCAAATGAAAGATGATGTAGACAGGGAGACCCACTATCCCCATATCTTTCCCTCTTTGTTGCTGAGATTCTTGGTTGCATGATAAGAAATAATGAAACCATCAAAGGTATTGTCATAAATGACAATGAATATAAATTGGATCTAAACTATTTCTTGATGGAACCGAAGAGAGTTTGTACTCTGCTTAACACTCTAATTAATACTTTTCACAAAATGTCAGGTTTGAAAATTAATTTAGATAAATCAAAAGCAATCTGGAGTAGATCAAAAGCTAAATCTATTGATAAAATATTTAATGATCTGAAAATTGAATGATGTACTACATGTAGGTATTAAATTTACACCAGATCTTGAAGACTTATGGGTAATCAACACCAGAAAGAGACTGGAGGAAATTAATAGCACTCTTAGCATCTTGGAGAAAAGAAATTTAACACTTATTGGTAAAATAACAGTAATAAAAACTCTAGCAATCTCCAAATTGGTTCATATTTTCAATTCCTTGCAAAGCCCAACCCACCAGCAGACTTTATCACTTCTCTTGAAAAAATGTTTTTTAAATTTATTTGGAATGATAAAATAAAAAGGAATGTAATTAAAAACAACTATGAAGAAGGAGGTTTGAGAATGACTGATACAAAAACATTTATAGACGCTTTGAAATTATCGACTTTAATACGGTATTTGAAAAGATGTGATAAGGATCACCCATGCAATATGCCTTTCAAAGACATTTAATTTTGGAGCCAATCCTGAAACTCACATTAAGATTGAAAATCCTTTTTGGCATGCATGAGCTAAAAAACATGGCAACTATTCTGCCAAAAACATTATATTGACCAAAGTAACATCAATGAAATTCTAGCCCAACCATTATGGTTTAATCAGTTTTAAAAATTCATTCAACTACATAATGAACTGGGCAGATAAAGGGATTATAAGTATTAGGGATATTTCTGATGAAACTAGATTATTGTCAATAGAATCTTTAAAAGAAACATATGGTATCAAAGGTGTTTTTTTAGATTATAGATATTTACTACATGCAGTACCCGATTCTTGGAACAATACTCTTAAACACTGTCATTTAATACCAGTCAGGGATTTGAATATTAACCAATGCCAGATATATCTAGTGAAAACATCTAAAGGCCGCAGGACTGTTTATGATAAACTTATTTCCAATGATATACACCCAAATATTTGTAATAAATGGCAGCTCTTATTTCCTGAAACAGACTTTGATTTGAAAAATATATTTACAGTATACAGAAATGGATTGCAAGACACAAAACTTATAGATTTTCAATATAGATTTCTGCAAGGAGTTATTTATACAAAACGAGAACTGCTTAAAATGAAAAAGGTTGATAGCAGTCTATGTTGTTTCTGCAATGATCTAAATGAGAGTGTTTGTCATGTGTACTGGGAATGTCAGGAGACACAAACTCTTTGGAAAAACCTACAAATTTGGCTTAACAATTTATACCCTCATCCATTGCTATTCTCAAAACATATGGTTTGGTTTGGTACTCAACATCAAAATATATTAATTAATCATGTCATCATTGCAGCAAAAAGACACATTTACATATGCAGTATTAAGAATAGTATCTAAAACACGCGTGGAGAGAAAACAATCCCGATTCCACAAGATATACTTGGCGACAACCTACACCTTTAAAACAAGCCCGGCTTGATTTCTTCCTCTTGTCACACAATTTATTTTTATCCGTGGATAAATGTGAAATAACACCTTGCATTGATTCCGACCATTCTGTTGTTGAGTTGATGTTAAAATCTTGTGAACTACCACGTGGTAGAGGGTTTTGGAAAATCAATAATTCATTATTGTACGACCAAAAATATGTGGATATGATTAAGGAAACCATAAAATCTACGCTAAAGCAATATGAAATCAACGAAAATGGCAATATTTCATATTCAGTGATATATATATTGAAAATAGAGTAATTCCTGCTATTTCAAACCCATTTTGGATAGAAGTCTTTAAAGATTGGTCTAATATTGTTAGTAGATACAAAGGACATGTAAAAAACTTAGTGTGGCCTTCTCTCCCAAAGTATTTGGAATAATGATAACATAAAAGTTGGAAATAAGACTATTTGTTACAGAAGCTGGGAAAAACAAGGTATAATATTCGTAAACGATTTATTGAATGAAAACGGCAGATTTTATTCTAAGGAAGAATTGTGTGCCTTATACACCCTAGATACTGACTTTCTTAAATATGAGGGCGTTAAACGAGCAGTTGTATGCTATGCAAATTCAATAGGTATTACTTTATCCGGAAGTAAATTATGTAATCCTGTGTTTCCGTTTATAATGAAATGTACAAACAATCGCCTGGGACATCAGAAAGTATACGATATGCTAGCTGATTCACGGTTTGTTAAACTCCCTTGTTATGATAAGTGGGAACACGTCACTGGTTCACACTACTCGGACTTTGACTGGAAATGTTTCAACTCGATCGCAAATAAATGTACTCCAAGTACCGAATTAAGATGGTTGCAGTACAGAACCATTCACAGAATATTGCCAATCAGACATTTCCTCTACAAAATAAACTATGTGGATAGCCCTAAATGTACCTTTTGCAACGATTATGACGAAACAATTTATCATATCTTCTGGGAGTGTGACAAGGTGAAAAGCATATGGCGTGAAATGAAATTATGGCTCAGAACTGTAGACGTAGAATTGAGTTTTACAAATACCCAGGTAATGTTTGGGATTAAAGGAAAACATAACTATGCACTAAATGCGATAATTATTTTAGTCAAGAATACCATATACAACTGTAGTAAGAAAGGTTTCATTCCAAATATTTCATACATCAAGAGACAAATCATACAATATTATAATACCACAAAATATGTATACATTAATCTTGACCAGGAACCCTACTTCCTAAAACTATGGTCCAGTCTACACATGCTATTTAGAACCGTTGAGTAGGTCAATTATTTGGATGTATATGTAACAATGTTGACACTGTACAATTATACTAAGTATTAGAGACCCTACATGTATGCATTGAACTTATACTTTTACATAATATATGTCAACTTGTATGTATACCTGAAAAGAAAGCGAAATAAAAAAAAGAAAAAAAAAGAATACGCATCCAAACATAACTTTATTTATAAAAACTCTGAAAGAAATAGTCTTTGTAGAAAACAATGCATGCAAAAAATAAAAATATATAAAATATATATATACTCTCCCAAAAAAAAAACGCATGTAGGAATTTCAACTGTATTTTTATGTTTATTTTGAAACATCTTGTAGGCTTTATGAGTCAATGAATTATAGCGAAATTGCACACTGGGAATGCAGACTTATCCGTCTTTGGCACCAACTCGAGGAAAGTCAGTTTGAGTGTCACATGGAGACGTGTGGTGGCGCTGAAGTCAATACCTCATGTGACCAACGTGGGCATCCAGAACTGCACGGCATCGCCTCGGCATCGAACAAGTCTCAGAATCTCGTGTTGCCCAATCGCAGCCCACTCTGCCTGTAGTGCCTGTGCGAGTTGCTGAAGTGTCTGAGGCTGAGGGTTACGGCGTCGCACCCGTTTGTCGAGGGCATCCCACAGATATTCGATCGGGTTTAAGTCCGGTGATCTTGAGGGCCTGTTGTGGTTCTGGAGGAAGTCTCTAGTGTGACGTGCTGTTTGGGGCCTGGCATTGTCCTGTTGAAACAACTCCCTCTGGCGATCAATGATTGGAAGGAGGTGTGGGCGTAGGATTTCGTCACAGTACCGTTGAGCTGTCAGGTTGCCCTGGATCATCACCAAATCACTTCTCCTACGGCAGGTGATCGCTCCCCACATCATAACACTGCACCGGCCTAATCTGTCCACCCGCGGAACGCAAGCGTCGGCGAAACGTTCACGTCGACGTCTGTACACCCGCATTCTTCCATCGCGTCGTTCCAATAGAAATCGTGATTCATGACTGAACCAGATTCTACGCCAATTCGGTAGGTTCCAGGCCTGAACGTTGGTGCACCATTGAACTCGATGTCGACGATGTTGTTGTCGAAGCACAGGGCCAACACAAGGTCTTCTGGCACGTAAACCAGCCTCTCTCAACCTGTTCCTGACGGTCTGCGCAGAAAGCCTCTCTCAATCCGGGTATTTGTCGAGCGGTACTGGTCGCCGTAGCTGTTCGATGACGCAGGTGATGTACCCGGATGTAGCGATCCTGCGCCGCAGTGGTCGCTCGAGGTCGCCCACTACGAGGGGCATCTGCTACCGCATTCTGCCGGCGATATCTCTCCCAGAGCCTTGAAATGGTGCTTTGGTGAACATTCATGCGTCGGGCAACTGCACGTTGAGACTGGCCAGCTTCAAGCAAACCAATGGCGATATGACGGCAGGCTTCACTTAGACGTGGCATTTTGCGTTCGTCAACAATATTCCAAATACAGTGAATAATCGACAGACAGCGATCAACCTTTTATACCCATCATTGAGACTATCTGATCCCCAACTTTCACGTGCATTGCATGTGAATTGTGTATTCTGTGACACTACACGCCGAAATTGAAAATCATGCTGTTAAATACGGGTTTTTACGGATGGTGCGTTTTGTTGTGATGTTTCAAAACATAAACATCATATGACTCATAAACAGAGCAACACCTTTTGTAAAATGAATCACGTTTTAATTCATTGCCACATGAAATTGCTATTTTCATGATGCGTTTCTTTTTTGGGAGAGTATATATATAGATTGATGAATATATGTAGAAGATTTCAATCATAAATGGGGCCTTCTCTTCCCAGTACTTTGATGAATTTAAAATGTATCCATATTTACCTGTTATCATTTTTCTCTTTTATTGACTTATATACATATGTGTATTAACATGATATTGACATAATACCCGTACATCATGTATCTGTATGTACCTCACTTTTGTACATATGATATTGTAATCTTGGGAACCAATAAATAATAATAATAATAATAATGTCAGTAGCTCGTATGTCATCACAGTCTGATGCCAGTGTCATGCTCCCAATAAGTGTTTGGATGATTGCCAACAGAGATTGTTTAACTCTTCAGTAGGAACAATGCCGTGTTCCCGCATAGCTGCCGTAAGGGCGACGTGCTGCTCGTGATAGGGACGAGGTCTGGTGACCGGGCTGGCCACTCCATCAAGAAAATGGTCTCCTGTTTTAAGTCCTGTTTTGGCCCCATGAGGTCGTGCGTGGTCGTCCACGAGGATGAATTCCGGTTCGGTATGCACTAGCATACGGTTTAACGAACACATACAAAATGCCATCCCTGTAGCGCAAATCTGCCATCCTGCTCTATGCTGTAAGACATGGAGATCGAACTGGACAAGATGGGATCGAGCCTTGGTTCAACATGGTTCGCATGGCCGTCGTTGATCACGTGGTATAAGTCAATCGGCACCCCGCTTCTGCATCGATGCATCTCGCTTTCTTTCAGCCATTTTTCTTTCTTTGCTTTTTGTGCTGGTAGTGAACGCACAGTGTCATTTACTTTGTTTGGGATTCATGCACTGCTAGATACATGCCACACGCAGTCACCTGGCTGCCGACCCGTGCCCATATTGGTTCCACGTGATCAAAACTCAACCATGCTTATCTTTCGCAGAATGGATATTTATTAAACAGGACAGACTGCATTTTTTGGCATTACTGTAAGCAATATTCCTTATCGACAGAATGGCTTGTTTCTACTAAACAAGGGCAGCCGTGCAGCTGTCTTCGTAATTAATAATATTTTTAATTATTTTCACGTCCATGTGAGAGGTTTCCAGGCAGACGCTTTTATTGTATTGATGCACAACCTCTATTTCATCCTAGTGAATAGAACACAAATATAATACCTTTAAGGTTCAGTGTTGCAATGTTGTACTGCGAAATGGTTTGCAGCGTCTGTGTGAACAGTACCAACCATGTGTACGATATCTCACGTCACCTTAGTAGGGGAGCTATACGTGTTAATTTGTTCTTTTGATTGAGGGTATTTCGGGTAGCCCAGTGGTTACTTAGCGTCCGCTCGTTATGCCCAACACCCGGGTTCGATTCTCAACATGGGTACATTTTGTACAATGTGTTAAGCTCATTTCTCATGTTCCCCAGAACGTTGCTAAAACAGCTTAAAACCCCAACCACTCACTCTTAATGACGCTCTATAGGTCAAAACAGACTCCCTTTGTACCACATAATATGCTTTTCGATATAAACGAGGATAGTTTAATTGCAACTTCTTAAGCCTATTCTTAATACATTGGCTATGATCAAAGTTAAGAATTCTGATCAAAGTTAAGAATGCGTAGGGCTACGAACGTTTCGAGAATAAGGGGTCAGGACCCCGATCCAAAGTTCGTAACGTTACGACCGAACGTAACTCTTTAGGGACTACGAAACGCTACGAACGTTTCGAGAATGGTACCCAGGTCACGAGCTTGACGCGTTCCTTCTGGAACATTACGCTTCCCAGTCTCGAACATAAGTTATTCGATCTCGCTTATCATCACACGTCTCGGTCTCGAACATTATATGCCACCTTCTTATTTGAGGTGCGCAGTTTCCTGCCCCACGTGTTACCGATTTATGTGACGTCAATGTACCAGTATGTTGCAATACATGCAGGAATAATGACTCAATGAACTAGGCCTGTATTTATTGCCAGAAAAGAAATGGTAGTTACATGCAACATGTGATTTACAATGATCTAAATGTCCTTAAATAGTCAAACAGGAGAATGTCATGCACACTATATGTCCGTTAATAAAATATATTTGCGTCCATCCACAATATTTTGTGTTTGATATGACACTGAGTTTAAACAGATAGATTCGAATATATAACACAATGAGAACGACCACTAATGTAGCTGTCTGGTCAGACCAAACAAACGTAACTGAGAACAATACCCCGTTGTTCATTTCAACTACATTTGCATAAATGATATTTGCAAGACAATGTTATATACAGTAGCGAATCCAACTACTTCTTTTGTTTACGGAGAAGATCTAAGATGATGATTTATCGAGCTCTGTGCGTATATATGAAAATGATTAATTAGTTTTTATTGAACAAGTCCGTTTGCGTTGACAAATGTCATTAACTAAATACAAATATATTTCTACTGAAGCATAAATCATAGTAGATCTGTGTATATTGACAGTACGTGGCGTGCAAAACACTAGTAATATAAGCATTGTCATTATGCCTGTTGTGATCTATCAAAATGTCGTAATGCTGATAGTGACGTCATCATAAAGATTAATGTGTTTACTTTTTAACCCTTCATAACTGCCACAATGTCCCACGACAGAATGGGGTAGGGTGGGGGTGGTGTTTGGCTGTATATCGGAACTGTTTCCACGGATTCAAACTGCATTGGCGGATCCAAGGGGGCGTTGGGGTGGAAGCGCACGCCCGCACGCACACACACACACACCTTACGCCTTTTGTCTTCAGACCATATTGACCGTAACTACCATACCTCAACATAGACTTAACATAGTCGGCTAATACATGTTATGGTCTCCAAAGAGCGTCAGTCGATGACCTTTATGTCAATCACTGGGCTGTTTGATACAGACCATAGGGGCGTGTCTCGCTTAGAACTGACTGACTGACTGAGTTTGGTTTTACGACGCTTTTAGCAATATTCCAGCAACATCATGGCGGGGGACACCAGAAATGGGCTTCACACATTGTACCCATGTGGGGATTCGAACCCGGGTCTTCGGCGTGACGAGCCAACGCTTTAACCACTAGGCTACCCCACCGCCACTGTCTCGCTTAGAAACAGCGTTAGAAAGACATATAGGTATATAAAAGGACCCTACCCTATTACTATATAAAAGGATTTATATAGTAATAGGGTAGGGTATATATACCTATAGGGGCGGTGGGGTAGCCTAGTGGTTAAAGCGTTCGCTCGTCACGCCGAAAACCCGGGTTCGCTTCCCCACATGGGTGCTATGTGTGAAGCCCATTTGTGGTGTCCCCCGCCGTGATGTTGCTGGAATATTGCTAAAAGCGGTGTAAAACCGAAATCACTCATTCACTATATACCTATATGTCTTTCTAACGCTGTTTCTAAGCGAGACACGTCCCTGTGATACAGACTCCAGTTGTAACCGACCTCCGTCTTATAGTATGAATATTTCAGCGTTAAACAACAAATTAACAAACCAAGCTGAGATACATGAGGTTTATTCTGTCCTTGAATAGTAGGTAATATGGTATCAACACATCAAGCAATGGTTCATCACTATTACGGCGGGTAACGTCAGAAATCGGACCCGTTTGAAAAAACGAAACCGAAAATGAAAAAGAAAACCCAATAGCCCAATTTATAAATGTTATCCTGTTTTTAAGGCTTACTAGAATTGTTTCTTAACAGAAGACCTTCTCTACAGTGACATGTGACTATCGGTTAGACTTGTCATGAACCGACAAGTCTAAACGGAAATATAACACCAGTCTATCGATCTTACTCAGTGTTTCATAATAAAATCCAGAACCATAAAATACATTTAAACTTATGATAGTATATAATAATATTTATTTTCTGTCGGGTACAGTTAAACTCGGGCATAAAAGATGTGTATACAATTGCTGTTACTCGATCCTAATAATATATTTTTTACATAAATAACTGCAAGTGTTTAGATTTATGAAAATAATTTCTTTTTATTTCTGAATATGTAATGTGGACTTGATCCAAGATATATACTTTCCCCTTTACATTCCTCAATCAATGTCGATTTTTCTTGTTGATTGTGGTTGCTAACTATTATAATATAAACAACCGGCGAGGAAGCCTTCTCTAATGTTTAGGATTTAGACTGGTTGACTGTGTAAGGGAGTTAAGCGGTGTGTTTTGATGGATTGGACAGAGTTCTCTGCCCTTCCCAAGATGGCAACTGACACGCACCATCGTGAGTTGGCACTTACAAATTATACACAATTGTATATGTTGCGCTACAACAATGAGCTAGCTTGCTTGTATTTGCAAACTGACATTGGGTGACATTTTTATCAAATGACAACCTGTTCAAACTGATAGTGCATTCGATCGCAGTTGTCAAGGGTTGGGCTCGATCAACCGGTTTGTAGACTCGACTAATGTCATATTGATAAACTAAGTCGTGAACATTTCCTAGTGATTCTAAATACACATACTGTTTCCGTTATTTTTGTGTTATGTTAGATATACGTGACGTTGACTTTGATGGAACTCTTTAAATGTCAAACATACGCTATGATAGTTGTGTTATCAGTGATAATAAAATAATCACAGATGTCAAACTTTGATAAAATAATCACAGATGTCAAACTTTGACTTTGACTCAAAGTTTGACAGTTCTTGAACAATACCTTGATTGAAAACAGTGAATCTGCATTTCAGTCAGTCTTAAAGTAGATATACAGTAAAATCTTAAATAAAAATCATTTATGAAGCATGTAAAAACAAATGTCTTGAAGAATAAATCTTTTCCTAAACTCAACATTTGTTGCCAAAAACGTTAAAAACTACTGCAGATCAGGAAACTGAGTGTTATTGTTAATGAGCAGGGTTGACATCCAATGACCTGACCTAACATTGAGCATTGGAGCTTAAACTTTGTCAAAACGATATAGCTTATGATATATTAACGCTAAACAATTAGCTTAGAACTAAGGCTAAGCTTTTTTTCTATACAAATGAATGCCATGTATTAACTGTATATTGACTAGCGATGACTGGTTTAGTTATTAATTATGATTAAACAGTTTCGTAACATGTACTTCACTGATAATTGGGTGGATCTTAGTGGCTGGTATTTAGCTTACAATAAGCAACTTGTGAATAGATTTTTGAGCTTATAGATACTGGGCATGCATAAGTTTCTCTGAAAGATTCTCAAAACTCAAGTTTACCAATATTGTCAAGAAGTTCACAATCTGTTTGCTTTTGCATTTTGTAGCCATGTTTCTTTAGTTTGTCTGGATCTCTCAAAATTCAAGAATACAAGATATTGCTGTGTCCAAAATTTCGTCCTTGCTAAATCAATCCTTACCTTTGGATGTTTGAAGAAATGACAATTGGTTCCTCTTTTGGCTTAACTGAAACAACCCCACAAACGCAATATGCGATCTCACCTTTACTACTTAAAAAGAATAGTGGAAAAAATCACTCCACTGTTATGTAGATGAATGCACAGTAATGATGCGTTAACAAATAGTCAGGGCTCCAGATAATTATTTTGACTACCGCATGGAAATAAAAGGAGGAGTATTTCACAGGCTGCATGGTTTTATTACTTTTCCATGCTAACTGAAAGTGTAACAGTTTTCCTTCCAAAACACTCGACGATTTTCTTTTGGTTACTCATTCTTACTGCAGACGACAGGAAATAAATAACAATGCGCGTTGAGGTATTGCGCATTAAATGTTTTTCTACGCTGGTTTAAGGTCAACACGTAATCTACAGTAACCCTACAGCTGTATTATTACTGATGCGGACCGTAAATGTTGTGATAGTAATACTGTTTAAGGGCTAGCTTTTAAACATTTGTGAACTGAACGTTGATTAAAAATATTAACTCTACAATTTTCGCTTCAGTACAGACAACCAACACTATCCGTAAATGTTGTGATAGTAATTAGGGGTGGGCGATAATACCGGTTAACCGGTATATTGCAATTTGAACTTCACAATACGATATATTGCGGTACACTTTTCGCTAACCGGTTTACCCGATCGGTAATTTTCATGATGTAGTCAAAACTAGTAATAACATTTGTATTTCCTTTATATTATTATACATTAATAGTTTGGAGAAAGTTTATTGGTCATATAATTGCATTTGCGTGACTTTTAAACCATATAAATAAAACAAAATAGATTGGTACTGGCAGTCGTTGTAAGGATAAATAAACATGACACCAGGGAGTCATGATGACTCCTAAATGTTTATGCCTAGGGCAAACAGTGTTAATGCTAGGTACTGCACTACTCAAGATACAGTTGTAATGTATTCATCAATCTAGAATCGTACAGCTTCACTACCAATAATAAATAATTTTCAGGTGCGCTGTTATTTCGCTGAAGAAATATGGTTTTGGTACTATATAATTATAATTTTATGTACATTTGAGAGATGGTGATCTACCTTCAGTTGTTGGCGATCTTTAGCCCATTTTTACATTGTATTGTCTTCTTTCATTGGAATATTTAGCTTTGTTCGCTAGTTTTATATTGATATCTGTGATTATCTAGTATTTTTACTGTCCTTCGTCGGCAGGTTTTTATAATAACTATATATATTTTATTTCAATGTCAAATGTTCTCGTCACGATATGGCTGAAATATTGCCGATGTTGCATTAAATAATAACTCACTCACTCACTACATTTGAGAGAATATACTCTTGTTATTACTATTGTTATTAGAAAAGAAACGCTTCAGGACATTTTCGATGTCAAACAGCAGTTGATCAGCCCAAGAAAAAGAAAATAATTTGAAAATTTGATCGGACTGGATGGTCACAATATAACAGAGAAAACAGTGTTTCAGATGAACGCGCTTCCTTGATGTCTTCTGTTTCATTAACCCTTGGGTTATTATAACGATCCCTTGACTTTCGCGCCTAGTTTCGACTAAACTTGACCTACACTACAGCTTGGTTGAAGGCTATGGGGTACAAATATACTATTTGAATATTCATCATATTGATATTGATAATTGGAGCTCTTGGTTTGTTCATTAGTTGATTGTAATGGTTTTCAATTTCATCAGGGATTAACTGCTTTGTGTACCTGCGACAGTAAATGATCATTGATGTGCTTTGCTCGTTGTTATTACTTCAGGGTGATATAAGGACAAAATCTGATTCACCATGTGCCCTGAAATAGTTACATCAATGATACTGTCGATGTCCGCTCCTTTATCTTATCATGTTTGTTTAAATACTAGTATAACAAGGTGTTGGAAATTTAGTTGAAAAGAATTTACAATGATAACCTTTTTTTTTTCAATATCCAAAAACATTTGGTTCTGTATTGAATCTATTGATGGACATGCTAACAGATCGATAAACATGATTAAGGATGTGACCATAACCGAATAATTATTTGATGAATCGCTCCAGAACTATAGTGACCTGCTGGCTTGTCTGTATATTGTTGGTCGGTGGGGTAGCCTAGTGGTTAAAGCATTCGCTCATCATACTGAACACCGGGGTATGATTCCACACGTGTAGAATGTATGAGGGCCATTTCTGGTGTCCCCTGCTGTGATTTTGCTGGAATATTGCTAAAAGTGGCGTAAAATTAAACTCACTCACTATATATTGTAGTGTCACAATGATACATGTTAAAGGTTTTCACCTGAGAGTCAAATTGTCCCTTTAGGTATAGTTATTTATATCATAGGTATCTATATAGGTGACTGAGAAATACAACACTAATAACACCTGGGATATTTTACTTCAGTTTGTAGTGCTCCCTATGTCTAGTCCTCACAGGATCATTCAGATGATAGTTTTCATTGTCATTGTTTGTGGAATGACTCCACACTCCGCAATTTTCCGGCAGTATGACGGGGTCTGTAATAATCACCTCTGGACCAGACAATCCAGTGATCATTAATCTATGCAGTTGGAATCTGATGACATGTGTCAATGAGCCTGTACGAGGGGTGAAACGGTATACCGCAGTGTTAGTAGAACCTTGGTATTTTGCCTTCGGTTCTCAGGGATGGCAATTTTCCGCTGATCCACTGATTTTCGCCAATTTTATTTCAAATTAATCATTCTGAACCCGCCATTTGATGACACAATATTAAGTTTTCAGCTGGAAATAGATTTTCCTGTTGCCATCCCTGGGTTCTGTATACCATAATGCAATCCAAAAGTTCGGTATTTTCGGTTTTCGTGCCGCCTTTTCTATCTAGTCATAAATGACAGTTTTCTTCATTCAAAATAACAAAGATTATGGTTATTTTTTAACATGTTATTAAACAATGTAAGGGTTGGCTCTTGTCCATTTTCTGCATTATTGTCATATCTCACATACCAAACCGAAATGGACCGAACCGAAGGCCTCGTACCACAATATGTACCGTACCGTGGTAAGAGCGGACCGTTTCACCCCTACGAGCCTGACCAGCCCGATGCCGTTAGTTGCCTCTTATGATGACAAGCATGGGTTGCTGAAGACAAATTCTAACCTGGATCTTCACAGGCATCGTTGTCATTGATGCTACATGACTTTTGTCTGTTTCAGGCACCCCATCAAGCGAGATGGACACTAATTCATTATTTGACAAGATGACCATTGAAGAGATACGTGAAACTGAGAAGAAAATCAGGTAAACTCATACAAATATATCTGGCCTAATAAAAAATTGTTGTGGTTCCAATTACCCAACCGACCCTAGAATTCTGGTGCCGACCCTATTTTTTTAAGCGGTATGAATGAAATAAGCTTTCAGATACCATTGTTTTCCCGGCACCAACAGACATTGGTCATTCTGATAGAGAAAGTCGACATGATGGCCTAAACCTTGATTGCATTATAAACAATTATACATTGATAAATGTGTTACTAGTTTGTACTTTGCTTCTAAAAAAAAGTGGAAAAAATCCTACCTACCTACCCTAAATTTTAAAGAGGTGTAATCAGAACCACAACTTTTTTTTTTGTTTGGCCTCTGCAAAGTGTCTGTAGAAAAATGACCAACTCTGAGTGATAATGTAGAATGTGTCTTGTCATATGACTAGTGGTGTGACGATTCATCGATATGCATCGATGCATCGATCCATGGGCCGCCGATACAGTGAATCGATACAAAGTTTTACATTGTCGTATATCCCGATATGATACATCAAAAGGGCCACGATACATTGATGTTTAACTTTGAATATTGCCGAATCACGATTTGTGTCAAGAAAAAAATTACTTTTGTTTGATGATTAAAATATATGCTTACTTATTTTCCCTCATAAGTAAACGTTCTCTTTGAAATTCTTGCGTCAAGAACTGGGTCAGACATAGCGCTAGCATGTTATTAACATTCACAAAGTCCGTGTATAAACTTAATTATCTCCTTTCTGAATGAACATTGAAAAATGCTGGCGGAATTTGATGAAATACTTTAAAATGGTTTTGCTTTGATCTTGTTTTATAGTTGGTGTTAGAATTAAGGATTTTAGTATCGTGATACATATCGTATCGCCACCCTTATATTGGGATTCGTATCGTATCGCAGCTTCAGTGAACAATACTTTGGCAATATATCGCCGTGACTAAAATTTTAGCATCGTGATGTATCGTATCGCAGGTTGTATGCCAATACCATCACTACATATGACTAGAATCATGATACGATAGACTTGGTGACAGTCTGTGCCTTGTATGTTGCACACAAACAGACATTTCTAGCTAGTTGATAATAATTGGATAATCATTTTTACTTGGGCAGTAGTCCACCACAAGTATGATAGATATCTCGAATATTGGGTAATGAATATGATTAGTGGGTAACTAGTGCAACAAGTCAGCAGTATGATTGACATGTTTTGACCATGTCGACAGTGGTAATTTGTCAACAATGACCAGTGACCACAGTCCTGTCAAATTGAATAGATAACAGTTTTGGCTAGTTTGATATATTCCTTTCTGCATTTCTCCCTTTGATAAATAACAACCAAATTCAAGTAAAAACACCCCTTTTAAAAAATTCATGAACATTTGATTCTAGTGATAGTGAATTACAAATTGAATTTTACAAGGATATGGTTCGATTTACTGAATACGTGAGTGAATTGTGACTCCACTAATTTCCTTCAGCATGGAGTTCGCCACGCTGAATTTGGTGCATTATTTAGAGCCATGAACATGATTTCTATTTAACATTGTAATTTGATGTTAACTTATGAAGTGTAAAGGACTCACGAAGACAAGTTATACACAATTTGCAGTTACTTCATCCATTATGATTTCAGAACACTTACATTGACCCATGGCGTGTTTACATATGTAGACACACAGATTTAGTTTGCATTAATGATTTCTTAATTTACAAATATTCAGTTTCTGTGTCTCTGATTCCTGATACAAGCTGCTTGATGACAGATTCATGTCCAACAGACATTACTGGACCAATCCGGTTATCATTTAAGGTGCTTTGTTAGTACGACATGTTGTTTTACAAGACTCAGGCTTCAGGCAAGTGTCTAACAACACAGGCTGTTGTGATTCCGAATTTTCTAAATTCTTTATTCATATTGGATGCGTCATCTGACAAGATAACCATGCTACTGGCCAATTTGTGTAAACTCACACGACTGCTCGGGTAGGGAATACTTTATTTTAACTCTACTCAGCATCATCCATGTTTTCATTATAGTCGGTATTGTAATGCTAACCGGGTAATTTTCAGACTGAGTTATCACAAATATGATGAAATAGATGTATGGGTACAGGCATATCATGTTTCTTATCAATGAGTCATTTCACAACCCACAGGTGAATCGTGTCATCCCTGTATCCGTCATCTGAAGTATAACTGATCTGTGTTATATCAAATAGAAGATTGATCCATTTCGTTTATGATAACAACTGGATATTGATTACTGATAAATCATGAATGAGAATAGTGATTATTGAATTACTACTTTCTCCATCTCGTTAAAATAAGTTATTAACAGAAAATAGAAAAACTGTCCTAAAGCTTAAATTACTACATGTATTTACGAAGACATCTGTTAGGTACTATTGTTATCAGACTTTTGTTTTCGTGCATGATGTCATATTTTCCTAAAATTTGAATTAAAGATGTTAAAGGGGTTTAAGATGAATTAATAATTTGACGTGTAATTTACACATTTAGGAGTTCTACATCTGTTTTCAAATACCTGGTTTTATTGAATCATCTATTCCGTGAAGATCCATTAGGGTTACGTGGAGATTCAGACATTAGAATTTACGAGCATTGTAAATTATGTAATATTCAATTAAACCTTCAAATCTGAAAACTATTATTTTACCATTATATATTCTGATATGATCTTATTTTAGTTTTCAATATATGTATAGATATAAGAATAATTAACAATCCTAGGTTGATCAGTCACACAGAAAATATATTTTATCTTCTGGTGACAAAAAGTTCTTGGATAATTGTCCCCTGCCGCAACGCGGAATGGGGGCTATGTATTCATCGGCGTCCTTATGTACGTACGCGATTCTTGTTACCCAGTGTCTTCAAATTTGGTGACAGCCTACATTGGGGGATTACTCAGATACCAGTCGAATTGGGTGACCTTGACCTTATCTTCAAGGAATTGCACCAGTTGCCATGGTTACCAGGTTTTTTTGTGTTCTCCACAGATTGGACATTGAGAAGAAGAAGGAGGACCTGCGAGTCATGGTGGGGTGAGTGAGGGACCTTCTGTTTCTTCAACCTGTAAGGTCCAATGTTGGTACAGCTCCTTTGTACCAGAGGTACACTGAAATATTATGTGGCACGCTGTAAAAATAGTAATAGGGCTTCCTGGCACATGTTAATTATGTTATAAGTCATAAACTGTTATGTTTCTTTGAGATTGGGATCTTGCCATGTTTCCAGTGTAACGGGCCGCTCTGTAAGAATACTACTAAGATTGATGGTGAGTGGTCTATGACTTTTGCTCAACCAGCCTTATGTAATTGACTTCGTTCAAAATTGCCTGTGAATGTGTACCTGATGGTATGAGATAGGGCTGGATATTGCCCTGATTCTCATATTGCGATATATTGCAATAATTCAAGAGATATTGCAATACATATTGTGATATATTGACTGGAAGGTTTCTGTCCAAGTGCGTACATCACAACTTGATAATAGCTCTCTGTGTGCGACACCATCTTCTTAGTTGCTGTTACACCATACTTTCAGGCTCCCCGTCCCCGTTGTGTATGGGTATATGCCAGTGGTGTACAGATAAATGATATAGAGCGTTAATATGGAATGTTTCATTGAAGTAACTGTATTGCAAACATAATGATAAAGGTAATAGTATAATCTGATTTTATAGGTCAGTGTTGTTTGCTTCAACAGAATGCCCTTCAATGCAGTATGTAATTATTGTTACTGTTTGTCAGTAATTCATACAGATTCAACTCCAACATAAACATGACTTGTGTTAACATGAACTGCTGTAAAATGAAACTAAAACATGACTTAGGCGAACTATACTTGAGCATAAAATCTCATGTGACCTCCAAAAAACTAAGATCACTGACTAGAATGTCATTATACAGTCCTACAAGATTTATAAGACTTTGGCCTTTATCATAAATTGATAACATATGTCCCATTATGAAACAAAACAAAAATAACAAAATAATGTGAATTGTGAAATGGTCGCTCAGAGCCAGTAGCTCTAGTTATAAGTCCAAATAAAAGATTGGTCAAGTCTTTGAAGGGCATTTAGAAGTGGAATGCATAAGAAAAGCAAGATTATGGATGTCAATCTTTTTTATTGTGAATATTCATGACCTGATGAAGGAGCAAGCATACACTCCGAAAGGTTGTGTTATTTACAACAAGAAGTTGACGTCCATAAATCTTGCTTTTCTTAAAAGATTGGTCCATTTGAGGCCACTTAATTCATCAAAAACGTCACGTATGAAACCATTCAAACCCCAAAACCTGAAGCATTTGGTAGAATATTTTGCACTTTTGGAGCCACTTATAAAAACACTTCCACTTGTAAAATGTTATATGAAACAGAAAAGAAACAAAGGCATATTTGGCACTTTTAGAGCACATTTTGTTGCTATGGAAATCAAGGGCAGATAATTCAAGTGGAGCTAACTTTGGATGACCCAATATATATTTCAGAATCTGAACTATATCGCGATAATCGTATCACGAGATACTGTACCGGTATATACCGGTTTTCCGGTAATATTGCACAGCCCTAGTATGAGATGGTCATGTGACTGTTAATCTTCCAGCACCTCACAGGCAGCTTGGGTTGTAGTAAGGGGGTCGTGGTGGGCGAGCTGTCTAAGGGGCCAGCCTTGTGACCCAGTGAGTTTAAGGTGCTGCGATTGAGCCTACTTCTGACCGGGTGTGAAAACCTGGGAGTCGTTTTTGTGTGCAGACTCTTTCAGTGTTGTCACAACCCCTAGTGTACAGTACACAACACTGTGCACTTAAAAGAACCCACGCATCTGACCAAATGGTAGCAACATGAATATGTGCAAACACCTAGTTGTGGGTACAGCAATGTGCAGTAAAACTTAGACAAGGTACTGTGACTATGTGTCCAGTCCACCCAGCTGTGAATGGGTACCTTGTAAGGATGGAAAAGCCACAATAACTCGGTGAGCCTAGTGGCTGCATGAGTTGTATACTCCCCAGGGAGTTGAGATTGAAAATAAGGTGTCCTGTTGAGATCAACATCCAATCATTGAGTGAAAACAAAGCGCTTTGAGCATGCATGTAGATGGGATGGACTATAGCGCTATATGAATAGCCATATAATAATAATATAATAATAGTGCACACTGATCCTAAACCGAGGTAATAATGTTAGCACTTTGAGCATACAACTTGTGTATGATAGTTTATGTACACATATTGTTGTTAGTACTTTGGCCATGATGGTTAACGTTGGAACATTGTGTTTAAGTATGTTTTAGCTTTGGTTTAACTGGCACAGATTCACCAATTTATGAAGTGTCATGATGTAGCTGGAGTGTTAGTGTTTTGGAGTGTTAGTGTGAGTGAGTGTTTGAGTGAGTGAGTGAGTGAGTGATGTGTAATGATGTTTGACCTGCCTCAGTGAGTGTGCGAGTGAGTGAGTGATGTGTAATGATATTTGAACTGCTTCAGGGAAAGGTATCGGGACTTGATTGAGGCAGCTGACACCATCAAAGACATGAAGACCAGTTCGGAGAACGTGACCCAGTCGATCAGCCACATGGAGGACATGTGCAAACAGCTGAAGCAGAACTACATGGTGCGTGGAGTGTCCTACCACCAGAAGGTCAAGGCCGACAACACCACGGGCAAGTAAGTCAACACCTGGACAGGTGGAAATAGTTGCAGACATCAACTGTGAAAGTGTTAGGAATTTGTGTAGACTTCTCTTTCACTTTGTGGGGGTAGTGGGGTAGCCTAGAGGTTAAAGCATTGGCTCGCCACGCTGAAGACCTGGGTTCGATTCCCCAGATGGGTACAATGTGTTTAGCCCATTTCTGGTGTTCCCCACTGTGATATTGCTGGAATATTGCTAAAAGTGGCATAAAATCATACTCACTCTTTCACGTTATCGAAAGTGAAAGTCTCTTTCCATTTTCAGTCATTCCTTGTTCTACATGACACCACTGTTCTGCTTACATTCCTTGTTCTACATGACACCACTGTTCTGCTTACATTCCTTGTTCTACATGACACCACTGTTCCACTTACATTCCTTGTTCTACATGACACCACTGTTCTGCTTACATTCCTTGTTCTACATGACACCACTGTTCCACTTACATTCCTTGTTCTACATGACACCACTGTTCCACTTACATTCCTTGTTCTACATGACACCTGTGTTCCACTTACATTCCTTGTTCTACATGACACCACTGTTCCACTTACATTCCTTGTTCTACATGACACCACTGTTCCACTTACATTGCAGTGTAATCAGCCATAAATTTCAGTAGTGTTTCTCAATGAAATAAGTCAAGTATACAAACTGTGTTAGCATAGTTTCAAAGGAGCCTTTGTATGTTTACAGAAAGAAGCAGGAAGCTGAGTTTTATGGTGTAGCTGCTCAGATTAAGCTGTTGCTGGATATGCCAGAGAAGGTGAGACTAAATATGATGCTGTTATTCTGTAGTTATCCATTGGACATGGGCATGAGTGGCCCAGTTAATGAATTTAATAGCCTGGTTTGCCTCCAATGGCCATTGTCCATTGTTGCCAGATGTCTAACAACCAGCTTGCAACTCCACAACTTGAGATTTCAGAAAGACAGGTACATTGGCTCAAAGGTGTTTTTCAAAGTGGAAACGGTTTGTTGGTCTTATTTAAGCCTTCATTTATGTTTAAATATTTACATGGTGCTGTTACATACTCCCAAAGGTACTGATTCTGCATTTGTAGAGACAGTTGACCAGGTTTATAAGGTCATGTACTAAATATAGTTTGGAACTGTGTAAGTGGGCTATTACTATCCCCTGTACCGTTTGTAGATCTGGAGCAGCAATGACAGCCGTGACTACTTGACAGCCACCCAGCTGTACCTCCTCGCCCGCCACGTAAACACCAGTCTGCAACTCAACTCCCAGCGTTCGGCCAACATCCTGTCCTGGTTCCCAGTCCTCACTCGGCAGTGGGCCGCCATCAGTCACTTCAAAAACACCATCCTGCAGGTCAGATCATTCTGGCATTGATTTTGCATTCATGTTATTATTTGGTGGCAGCTGGTCAGTGGAACTTTAATTAAACCTTGAATAAACTAACAAGGATTGGAAAAATATTCAGAAGATTTCATGGAAACACCATCCCTCAACAAAATAGAACAAGAGGAGCATCAGTATTTGAGATTTTCTGCTGTAGTATTTACATTGAACTGCCTCAATCATTATTTTGGAGCTTTAGCGTTAAAGGACATATTTTCATGCATGTTCATTTTCACATCATCTGTATTTTACAAGACATTTTGTTTTTGTACGCTGTGATTCAACCACATTACATTCACTCTTTAGTTGGTTCAACTTGGTTGACAGATGTCATCGTATCCCAGTTGGGTAGTGCTGTTGATCACTGTATTGTCTGTATTGATCAGACTTGATTATATACAGGCTGACGCCATATAGCTGGAATATTGCTGAGTGCGGTGTTAAACAACAAACCAACCAACTTTAGTTGGTTTAAGGAGCACCTGTTTAGAAAACTGCTGTTAGGAACTTTGAACGTTGATAACTCTCCAACGTAAAGTCTACCCATCTAGTCTGGTACATGATCTGTCCTGCAACCTCCATGTCTGATTACAGTTGGGTGGGGGGCGGTGGGGTAGCCTAGTGGTTAAAGCGTTGGCTCGTCACGCCAAAGACCCGGGTTCGATTGCCCACATGGGTATAGTGTGTGAAGTCCATTTCTGGTGTCCCCAGCCGTGATATGTTGCTGAAAGCGGTGTAAAACCCAACTCACTCACTCACTCTGATTACAGGGATGTCGCAGCTCTCTGAAAGACACGGAGGGATCCTACACAGATAAGGTAAATATGCACCCTCTGTCTTTCAGCATGGTGAACAGAACCTGATCTTTAAATGTAGATTAATATAAGTTCAGTATAAGCCATAGCCAGTAAACAATTTAATGAAAATGATTCTATGAGCCTCAAAATTATTTAAGACTGTAAGTGTAGAATTGCTTCTCTTCTCTATTCCTTGCAGCTCACATGATCTATTTATTGTAACAAACAGATATGACCTCATCAGTATAATGAATAAAGATTGATTGATTGTCTGAACAGTTTGTGCCAAGATCAGTGTACTGTACTAGAAGGGGCGGTACGACAGCCTTGTGGTTAAAGCGTTCACTTGTCATGCTGAAGACCCAGGTTTAATTCCCCACATGGGTACAATATGTGAAGCCCCGCTGTGATATTGCTGGAATATTGCTAAAAACTAAACTCACTCATTCACTGCAATAGAACATGTCTCAGAACCAATCGTGGTTGAAATAATGATAAGGTGCTGCCATTGTGGGTGAGCATTGGTGTATTTTTTGTATTCTATGGCACAAACTCAGACTGATTTGCTTTATCAGACTTACAGAATCAAATCAGTCTTGGATCATATTGAATCCTTATTATACAAGTGGGGCGGTGGGGTAGCCTAGTGGTCAAAGCGTTAGCTCGTCACGCCGAAGACCCGGGTTCGAATCCCCACATGGGTACAATGTGTGAAGCCCATTTCTGGTGTCCCCCGCCGTGATATTGCTGGAATATTGCTAAAAGCGTTGTAAAACCAAAACTCAGTCAGTATTATACAAGTAACCACTGATCAGCTCAGCTTCATGTTTGGCAGGATTCATGGTTTCACCATATTTGAATTTGTCTATTGTGTGGTAGTGTTTTTTACCAAAATTATGACATTTCTTAATTCTAAGAGTTAGAGTTATCGCATTTACGAGACTATATATATATATATACTTTAACAATTGATAACAAATCTTTTTCTAGCTTGTTAGCTATGGGTCTCCAAGTATAAATGATGTATTTTTAATTCCTAAAGATATTTCTTCCCAACTGTTTAAAATCTGTGTTTATACTTGATCAGTTACATAAAATCATATGCTTGAGAAACTATTTATCACTGGATGAACTACAGAGACTAATTTCACTTTCTCTGAGTTTATTACATAATCTTCATTTGCCACAATATGATGTGACACTTTCTTCCAATAAATTCTTTGCTTACTGTATTCTGAACATTATTTAATCATTTCAAAGTATTTCTGAAGATAATTGAGTGTTACCATCAAGTTCACATTTCCCCAGACTGAATAACCAGGCTTCAGTCCTACCCAAACCAAAACAACAAACACAATGCTAATTATAAACCCACAGCACATGCTGCCGTTAGCTGTTATAGGGTTTGGGTAAATTGACCAATCAACTGTATTGCATTTCTAAGACATTAGAGATATTTTTGTTAGCGTCTGTACAGTGTCTCTACACACACTAGCTAGGTGTTGGGCACACTTGTTGTTGGTATTTCGAGGACGGTTACAGGGCATCACTTTGGTGTAGATGTTGGCTAAACTTTACAACCTAATTAACACAGTAAGATTCAGGCTTCCCTATTCTAGTTGTTCCTTGTTGTGGTGGGTAGCATTGTCTTTCATTTGTTGTCTGAATGACTGTGAGTAGCTGTGATGATAAAACCAAAGGACAATATATGATACAGAAGAGTTTGAAATTCTACCATGACTTCAGTAAATACTGGACTGTGATTGGTTAATCAAAGTCTCTCATTCAGAGGTATATAATCCTTCATATACAGTATGTATTTTTCTAAATCTTAATAACATGGTTATGGTAGAATGGAGATAAATGTACTGTGTTGGAAAATCACAGGTTTGTAACGAAATTATAACAGCTCTAATTTGTTTATTTCAAACCTCACGCTATGTGTTGCGTTTTAAATCAAATTTAGAGCTATTATAATTTAGTTTTATACCTCTGATTTTCCGACACAGTACATTTTTCTCCGAGATGTTCCGAATTGTTAAGGACAGTGCATGATAAGGAGTAGTCAGATATTGTTAAGGACAATGCATGATAAGGAGTAGTCAGATATTGTTAAGAACAATGCATGATAAGGAGTAGTCAGATATTGTTAAGGACAATGCATGATAAGGAGTAGTCAGATATTGTTAAGGACAATACATGATAAGGAGTAGTCAGATATTGTTAAGGACAATGCATGATAAGGAGTAGTCAGATATTGTTAAGGACAATACATGATAAGGAGTAGTCAGATATTGTTAAGGACAATGCATGATAAGGAGTAGTCAGATATTGTTAAGAACAATGCATGATAAGGAGTAGTCAGATATTGCTGAGTAGTCAGATAAGGAGTAGTCAGATATTGTTAAGGACAATGCATGATAAGGAGTAGTCAGATATTGTTAAGGACAATGCATGATAAGGAGTAGTCAGATATTGCTGAGTCAAGATATGATAAGGAGTAGTCAGATATTGTTAAGGACAATGCATGATAAGGAGTAGTCAGATATTGTTAAGGACAATATATGATAAGGAGTAGTCAGATGTTGTTAAGGACAATACATGATAAGGAGTAGTCAGATATTGTTAAGGACAATGCATGATAAGGAGTAGTCAGATGTTGTTAAGGACAATAGCATGATAAGGAGTAGTCAGATATTGTTAAGGACAATGCATGATAAGGAGTAGTCAGATATTGTTAAGGACAATGCATGATAAGGAGTAGTCAGATATTGTTAAGACAATGCATGATAAGGAGTAGTCAGATATTGTTAAGGACAATACATGATAAGGAGTAGTCAGATATTGTTAAGGACAATGCATGATAAGAAGTAGTCAGATATTGTTAAGGACAATGCATGATAAGGAGTAGTCAGATATTGTTAAGGACAATGCATGATAAGGAGTAGTCAGATATTGTTAAGAACAATGCATGATAAGGAGTAGTCAGATATTGCTGAGTAGTCAGATATTGTTAAGATATGATGTTATTGTTAAGGACAATGCATGATAAGGAGTAGTCAGATATTGTACATGATAAGAGATACAGATATTGTTAAGGACAATGCATGATAAGGAGTAGTCAGATATTGATAAGACAATGAGTATAAGAACAATCATGATAAGATATTGCTGAGTAGTCAGATAAGGAGTAGTCAGATATTGTTAAGGACAATGCATGATAAGGAGTAGTCAGATATTGTTAAGGACAATGCATGATAAGGAGTAGTCAGATATTGTTAAGGACAATACATGATAAGGAGTAGTCAGATATTGTTAAGGACAATACATGATAAGGAGTAGTCAGATGTTGTTAAGGACAACGCATGATAAGGAGTAGTCAGATATTGCTGAGTAGACAGATAAGGAGTAGTCAGATATTGTTAAGGACAATGCATGATAAGGAGTAGTCAGATATTGTTAAGGACAATGCATGATAAGGAGTAGTCAGATATTGTTAAGGACAATGCATGATAAGGAGTAGTCAGATATTGTTAAGGACAATACATGATAAGGAGTAGTCAGATAGTCAGATATTGTTAAGGACAATGCATGATAAGGAAATTGTTAAGGACAATACATGATAAGGAGTAGTCAGATGTTGTTAAGGACAATGCATGATAAGGAGTAGTCAGATATTGTTAAGGACAATACATGATAAGGAGTAGTCAGATATTGTTAAGGACAATAAATGATAAGGAACATATGATAAGATATTGGAATTAATCAAGTTCATAGCTGGCACATAACAGTTGCAGTTGGTTTAATATTCTTAATGTGTCCTTTATAATAAACCAATGCTATCATTATGAAGTTGTTAAAAAGTCTAGACTGCTGGACATATTTCCTTAACATCTGTTTTGTTGATGAACAACGTTTTCCTAATGTTGGGCTCTCTACAGGCTTCGTATGAAACAATCCCTAGCCAAGGAAACTGATGAACATAATCATGGCTTTCTCTTGATGCTATGAGATCTGTTTTGTAGCTGATTAGTTTTCTTGTCTTATAATAGGCTATAAATGTCTTATTTGGTTTTGGCAAGTTGTTGTTGTTGTGTTCATTCTTTCTGAAGAGGTACAGTACGTGCCCCAACCATGACATGTATATAACTGAAAATCTTATTAAATATTAAAGTGGACAATTGCATGAACCCTGGATATAAAAATATATATATATATATATATGGTTTTGTCTCACTTAACAGATAAATGTTGAAGTGAATTTTTAGTATTTTATGTAAAAAGGATTGTTTTTCTTGATGACTACACTGATATATATCACATTTACACAATCACAAGTAAACATGGTAAAAGATTAATGACATGAGAAGACATGTTTATACTTTATGAACACCTGGTGTCATTACTAATGTTTAGTGTCGTAGTGATTTGTTTTGGCAGATATTGAGGTTATCCTCTAGCGTTGTTGGTTTACATTGTTATTCAATATATTGTGTTTGTTCTCTCAGATGTATTGATGACATCAATGGGTATATTCTTTTAAATTATGTTCTACTCAGCAAATAGCAGAGTTCCTCTGTTCCATCCTTCTGTTGGAAGACAGCACCCCGAGACAAGTCTTCAATGAGTTCCTTCTTGCTAGAACAGTGAGTAGTTACCATGATTTCATAACCAGCATATCGCATCCAAAGTTCTACCCATCAAGTGTTCACATAGCCTTATTATTAAGATAATCTGTGTGAAACTGGTGCATGTTGTAGAAGTTCTATCACAGTACAGTGGAAGCATAGGCTACTCATACCATGATCGTTCCATTGTTACTTGCTTTCAGATAATGCGACAATTTGATTGGGTGGTAGATATGTGATATGATACATCCCAGGTAGGTATATATTATACATTAATGCCACAATGGCACCACTTGTTGTCTCCCAGAAAGCCCTGCAGCAAGCCCTTCATGGCAGCCAGCATGGGAACATTAAGGACCAGGTGTCCACAGTGGTGCGACTCCTCATCAACACCGTCCACCAGATCCACGCTGTCTTCTACAACACGGCCATTGCAGGGGAGAAGGAAAAAGGAGGTGATTATTGTTTCTTGGTTCTGTGAATTGCATGGTGGGATTCTCCTCTGATGGCCACTGTAAGTGTCTCAGCTCACAACAGTAGTGCTCTGTTAATCTGTATCTGGATGAATTGGATGGAAATAGGTGTACCCTAAGTCTAACTAAGGTGTTACCTGAATCAGGAAAATGTTTTAGGCATGTCATCAGTGAAACAGCTTGATTTGAAATCAGTAAAACAGTTATGATATCTGTAGAACTGTTTGACATGACATCAGTAAAGTATTTTCAGTATGTCACAGGGGTGGAAATAACCCATTGCCCGACGCCCGAGTCCAGTGTTTTTTTCTGTCGGGCAAGCAAATTTGTATATCACACTGTACCGGTGTCCAGTTGATATTCCAATGTTAATTATGTTGTTTATTTAAAAATCAACAAGAAAATGGCCGGTATAGTGGAAAAATTATCAGGGCAAGTGATTTTACATGTGCCACTGTACCGGAGTACACGGGCAATTTTAAAGTTATTTCCACCCCTGTGTCATCAGTAAAACCCTATGACATGATGTCAATAAGAAGAAGTGGATGAAAATATGTGTGTACCATGAAGTCAGTGTGCCTCTAAGGTGCTCACTGCCTCAGTAAAACAGTCATGCATGTCATCAGTAAAACGGTTTAACATGACATCAGTAAACCGTCAATGTTATCAATAAAATCCCTTGACAAGATTTTAGTAGAACAGGTTGACATGACATCAGTAAAACAATTAAGAATGACTTCAGAAAGTCATCAGTAAAATCCTTGTTCATGATGAGCCATGGTCATTAGGACCACTTACAAGTAGACCAGCAGTGTTGATATTCCCCCATGGTACGAGGATGATGAGTGAGATGCTCCTGTGTGTTGCAGGCCAGTGTAACCTGCTGTCGGAGATCCTGGAACAGGTGCTCAACAAGTCCCAGGAAGGTAGGAGCTTGTGTGGTGAGGCATTTGCGCCATTGGATGATACAGGGACAGGATAGTACCATACATGTCGGAAAAGACAATTGGAGAGCCTGATCCCTTTTTGTTTTCATTTACAAACCAATTAGCTTAGTTTTGTGGAAAAAAGTAAAAAAAACCCCAGAATTTCTGTTACTCAATTATGTTTAGTTTTATTTGGTGTGTTTGATGAAATGGTTTCAGTGAGTTGAGACATTGACTGGCGGTTGTCCGGTCATTTCTTGTGGTTGTTGTTTCGTTGTTGTTATATCATGTATACAGCTACACTAGGCTACATTGTGGGTAGCGTGTAATATCCTTATTGTTATGATGTGGCTGATGTACTGTGATCATTTGTAATTGTGATGCTAACTGTGATTATGTGTTTTTTGACAGCAGGGGGCTTGCTGAGTTTGCAGGGATCCATATCGGCCAAATGTCTGCCAAAATCTGTCAAAGGTACCATCCTTTCCAGATCAGCTCTGTTTGTTGTGTTAAATATACAACAGGCTAGTTTTTACTCCAATAATGACTTATGATATTTTAAGTTGTTCACTGGTCTCGAGTGGGACATGGGCTGATGTACCCTCGATGTTTGTTTATGTTCCCTGAGCCCGATGGAATAACATCGAGGGTACATCAACCCATGGGCCCCGAGGGACCAGTGAACAACGTATTTATCTTACCGAACACCTAAATGGTAATTTTGAACTGTTTGAAGCACAGGTATCAGATCATAGTATGGAGGACACCTAAAACAAATTTAGAGTTATCTCCCTTTCATCGATTTTCATTTGCTAAACATTGGTAATTTCCGTACATCATACGTGACTCAATGTTATTCGAGATAAAGAATTACTACTATGAAGTACCAAATGAGTTCAGCATTCCCAGCGGGGTACATAGAAAATGTTACTCGCGTGTAAGCGGGGTACATTGAAAATAATGGAAGAGTGCTCAGCCAATCAGAAAACAACATTTATGTGTGAGGCAAAATAATATATTATGAATCTCTTGTTTATGCCATTGTTTTCTGGAGGTTTTCTATATTGTTTTGACTCTTTGTAAAACAGCCATATTTATCTCTGATAATTTGACAAATGTGTTGTTAATTACCTTGTAAACATGTTGATGGTGATTCAGTTTATAACAACTGAGAGCCGTCATAGTGATGCTGTCATGTTGCTGACATCATTAAGGAATATGTGAACAACACACGAACGTACCTCTTTACAACTATAGGGATCCATGTTAAATATACAGGTGCTAAGCTTCCTATTCTTGTCGTAAGAGTTGACTAGGTTCATCACATCATGAGTCTTGTCATTTTTTTCTCAGTTGCATATATTGATACTCTTGATGTGATTCTGTGGATTGTCTGGTCCTTGGTTATTTACTGACCACTGTCATACAGCAGTAATATTGATGTATGTGGTGTTTAACAATGAGCAAAACAAATATTTCGGTTTATAATGACAGTTAAATATGTATAAAACATATTTTTATGGATTGTGTACTTATTGCCAAACCAGCCCCGTTAGAGTTGTGGGATGGGATAGATCCTTGCCGCCAGTGCTGGTTTACAGAGTTGATGTACTGGATTGAGGTTTCTGTTTCAGTTGGGCTAAAGGTTAGGACTAGGATTAGAATGATGGTTAGCACTAGGGTTAAGACTAGGTTTAGGGTTAGGACTAGGGTTAGGACTAGGGTTAAGATTAGGTTTAGGGTTAGGACTAGGGTTAAGACTAGGTTTATGGTTAGGATTATGGTTAGGACTAGGGTTCAGACTAGGTTTAGGGTTAGGACTAGGGTTAAGACTAGGTTTAGGGTTAGGATTATGGTTAGGACTAGGGTTCAGACTAGGTTTAGGGTTAGGACTAGGGTTAAGACTAGGTTTAGGGTTAGGACTAGGGTTAAGACTAGGTTTAGGGTTAGGATTATGGTTAGGACTAGGGTTAAGACTAGGTTTAGGGTTAGGACTAGGGTTAAGACTAGGTTTAGGGTTAGGATTATGGTTAGGGTTAGGACTAGGGTTTGGGTTGGGACAGGTTAGGGTTGGGATTAGGGTTAAGATTAGGATGAGGATACCATGAGGGTCTAGGCCCAGTTTCCCAAAGCTCTCGTAGCATTACGACTATCGTAAGTCAATAATAGGAAGTAGGAATGCTACAAGAAAAGTTACGAGATCTTAGGCTTATGAGAGCTTTGTGAAATGGGACCTTGGGTTGTTGCTTTTGACACCTGTCTCTGAATTCTCTGACCCAAAATCAGTTGCTCCAGGCTTCAGTCATATAGCTAGAATATTACTGAGTGCAGTGATAAGACTGACTGACTGAGTTTGGTTTTACGCCGCTTTTAGCAATATTCCAGCAACATCACGGCGGGGGACACCAGAAATGGGCTTCACACATTATACCCATGTGGAGATTCGAACCCGGGTCTTTGGCGTGACGAGCTAATGCTTTAACCACTGGACTACCCCACCGCCCCATGCAGTGATAAGAACACACACTATCATGCTGTGATATCTTATTGTAATTTTATTACAGATTTCCGTCCTGTGCTTCGAAGTGCAGGGTCCACAATATCCTCCCAACACATCCAGGACAACTGCCAACAGTGGATCAACACGTGAGTTTTACATTATCATTGTATATTATTATTACTGCAAGAAGTCAGCATATTTTGGTGCTAATCTATATTTGTTGACTTTGTGTTTGGTTTGTGGTGAATCTCTGTAAGTGTATGATCATTGTGTGGTAGTTGTCCTGATGTCTCAATGATGTGTGTCCCCAGTTGCGTCAATGACATCAAGTCTGGGGTGGGAAAACTGCTGGGATTCGTCAACACAGTGAAGCGACTGGCGGACATCCGAGACTCACTGTGGGAGCTCCTCTCTCAGGTACAGTAGTCTTCCATTTATCACCTACCCGTGAAGATCCGGGTTAGAATATCGATCTTCAGTAACCCATGCTTATCATAAGAGGCGACTAATGGCATTGGTTGGTCAGGCTCGCTGACTTGGTTGACACATGTTATCGGTTCCCAATTGCGCAGATCGATGCTCATGTTGTTGATCACTGGATTGTCTGGTTCAGACTCGGTTATTTACAGACCACCGCCATATAGCTGTAATATTGCAGAGTGCGGCTTAATACTAAACTCACTCTCACTCCTTTTATCTTCAAGTATAACAACATTGTACACTGCACTTGTTCTGTGTAATCACCCAACATTTATATAATTCCATCCTTTCACTTCGTCCATTCTGTCGTCGCATAGACATGTGTAACTCCCAGTGTTTTGTGTTGTGCAGGATGGGGATGAGAGTCACTGGGATTTGATCTGCCGTAGAGTCGTCAACAAAACGCTGCACGTCTGGGGGGACTTCCTGCAGCCGCTGTTTTTGGATAGGGTTAAGGTCAGTCATGATGTCCTTAAGACTGCTTTCTTTGAGGCTGTGCAGTAACAACCCTGAGTCAGGCAGGGGAGTATTCTTTCCTTTAAGATTAAATACTGATTGTCAAATTATTTCTGTAAAATGTGATATTGTTTATCAAAGACCTAGGCCTAAATTTTCAAAGCTCTCTTATCACTAAGATAGTCGTACGTTAATGATGATGTATGGCACTTACGACTATCTTTGTGCTAAGAGAGCTTCGAAAATCTAGGCCCAGCTGCCTCCATTTATTTCACTAAAATGCAGACTATGCCTCATTTTAATTTTTTAAGTAAACACAAAACGACAACGTAGATAATATGAATTGTTGTTGAAAGATTTCTGTTGCATTTTTAAATGTATTTAGAACACACTAGCAAGAAGGAAAAAACTGTCCCTTTGGTTTCTTTTTGTAAACAGTTTTGGTAAAGGAACTGCTCCAAGTCTAGGTTCAGTATAGTTTGGGTTCAGTTTACATGAGGTAGTTATGGTGTTTCCTCCATATTGTTTACAGCAACTAATCCAGTATCAGCTTGATACAGCTACAGAACTCACCAAGCGGAATGTGTCCAAAGTGATGGTCGAACTCACCCCAGACACCACTGATAGGTAAGACCATGTTTAAATGGCAGTAAACCCCTCTCTCTCACTCACTCACTCACTCTGTCAGGGACACTATAGAGTTTGCTTGTGAGATGTCATAGTCACATAGTCAACAAGGTTGGTTGGTTTGTTGTTTAACGCCGCACTCTGCAATATTCCAGTTATATGGCAGCGGTCTGTAAATGCTAGAGTTTGAACCTGACAATCCAGTGATCAACAGCATGAACATTGATCTACACAATTGGGATATGATGACTTGTTTCAACTGAGGCTGATCACTCGATCCCGTTAGTCGGCGTTAAGGTGTTACACCCTTGTTACATTTACGTGACAATCAGAACAATTTGGCGTGTGATTATTATTTCTGAAAATTCTAGTTAAAGTTAACTTTAGATATGTTTTCATCAATTGCTCTCATCTATTCTGTATTTAAAAAAATAAAATGCCAGCCTAGTGTCTTTTGATGTCAAATACATATCGACACTTGTTGATAACATTTATAACAGTAATTACCATCTCAGTTGTATAAAAACTACTGATAAAAGCTTCAGTTGGAGAGATATTAGTGATGTCATGTAATAGTGACATTAAGGTGACTGATGACATCACAATGGTCTGCAAAGAATTGTGATGCAAGACTATGATCATCATGACTATCACAATATGCAACTAATATAACTATGTAGCTAAATGTCTTTAAACTTCAATCAGTGTCATGGTACTTCTCAGAAAAATGATGTTGCCATTTTGAAGATACTGCTCAGCTTCCAGCCACATTATGATCCCAAGTAAAGAGCTGATCTGTAAATATATCTTTAGCATTAGTTGTAGTAATTAAGTGTTTGATGATGTTCTTCTGCTTTCCAGCTCGCTGCAGCATGAGACAGACCTGGCCAGCTATCTGTGGACTGAGTCGAGTGGGGACATTGCGGCGAGCTCGGTGTGGACTCCTTCCAGCAAGAGTCTGGCTGATGGCGGGGGGTCTTGTCCTCAAGGCCAGAGCCTTCACACCTGCAGTACAAAGGTAGGTACACTTCTACCAGTACAGGTTTATGTGGGGTGTATTATTGTGCAAGGTTTGTCCCAGTGAATCCATGACACATAATTGTCCTTGGGCCCATGGTGAAGTATCTGTGACAAAATGAAATATTGCTGGTTAAGACATGGCAAACATGTTATATTTGGGACTTCACTTTCTCAGTTAAGTGCAGATTCTAGAACCATTAGGGCTTGTATTCATAAGACATAACAAGATCGAAAGAAACATTGCACTGTTATATGAATATAGTTATTCATGTTTAAAAATGATTTACATGTATGTTTATGCTTTCCATTTGGACATGCTGGCATGTTTTTAGCTGTTCAAGCTCAGATCTGGAGCTTTGAGTGACCATGGCTGAGTCTTAGTAGAACAGAAAACATTGTTTTAAAGGTTGTTTGTGTTCATCGAAGTTATTCCAGGTGCTGACATTGATGTTGATTGTTTTAGTTTATGTCGGCACCTTGACGACAAGCTGAAGAATCTCCTGGAGGACAACAGACCGTACCTGCAGGTGGAGCGGGAAGAGGAAGAGGGGGCAGGGTCAGGGGTCAAGAAAACATCGGACACTCCTGGCCCCTTCGATAAATATGGAGACAGCATGTTGATACTGACCTACGTCCAGTCTGCGAGCACCGCTGCTGTCCAGAAGTGAGTGGACAACCATTGTTATATGATCGTAACAACTTATTGATAATGAGGCAAACACTACTCAGGTTGTGTGTATCCTCAATTCTTCCATGGGTAGTTGGTGGTTGGTGCATGGTTTCAACCAGGGGAGACTACTGTGAAGTAATCTGTGATCAGTCAGCAGTTCTTGTTTATCTGAGGATAATTTCAGGATTTAAGTATTATTCTTGACCAAATGTTTGTATGGAGTGAAACATTTGTACATTATTTGTATAGATTCTCAAACAGTGTGATTCTTTTTTGGTCAGATAGCGTGGATTGTTGAAGGACTATTGTGACTTTTGTGATTGAAGTATTATTCGTCTTCAGTGACATTCTCAGTGTGTGTCTGTAAGTTTTCATGTTTGTTCACAGTGTATTGAACTATCTGACAGAGCAGCTAAAACTGTGGCAGAAAGCATTTGAAATTCCTGACCCAACAACAAACTTCATCACAGAGAACAAGTAAGTGGGAATTGTTACAGGAACAGCCAGCAGAAAACTACAGGGATACAGTTCCTTGGTCCTAGCAGGGATGAAAAGGGTCATTTTTGAATCGTCGATCCAATTGTATGACTGTGCTTCAGCAAAATTAGAGGAAGGGTCATTGTTTTGTGAATCGCAGAGTTTTTCTAAATTCCCGTTGACAATTGTATGACTGTGCTTCAGCAAATTTAGAGTTTGTTAATGGTTGCTCTGTTCATGATATTGTCATTTTTGAGCCAGTTTTAAATGTCTAAAATGCCTACATATCAAGAGCTTCGACTAGTTTTCAGAGTTTTTCTCAAAATTTCATTCTAGGGGATCCCTGTCTTAGCATATTGTGTCTATTTGTGTCCATTTTGTGTTCGGATGAGTGTTGATATGTGACTTGAGTGTAAGATATGGGGAGTTTAATGATTGGTATAACTAACAAAGCATCACAGTAGCACAGGACCCCATGTCTGTTCATCGATGATGACAGCAATTTGAAATATACAAGTTAACATAGATGTCATAGTACACGTAGGACTGAAATGATGAAATATAGTGAATGAAAATACTGTTTATTAACTGCTTGATCCAAAGTACACTTTGCTTGAACTCAGACGTATGCAGGAAGCTTTCATAAATGTACACAAGACAAAATACAATAAGAGGATCCTCCCTTTATCATTTAGCCTTGTGGCTGAAACGTTTGGTTGGGATGCCGAAGACCAGTGTTCGATTCCCCACATATGTATGTTTGAAGCCCATTTCTGGTGTCCCTGGCTGTGATATTGTTAAAATATTGCTAACAGCGGTGTAAAGCCAAACTCGCTCCCTCCCTCCCTCCCTCACTACCTCACTCACTCACTCACTCACTCACTCACTCACTCACTCACTCACTCACTCACTCACTCACTCACTCACTCACTCACTCACTCACTCACTCACTCACTCACTCACTCACTCACTCACTCACTCACTCACTCACTCACTCACTCACTTGTAACATTACTGCAGCAGTAACTATGTGGTTCATAAGCACTTCCATAAACTGTATCTATGTTGTATTTCAGAATTCTCCTGGTTGGAAGGTTGTGTTCAGCGCTGGCAGAGTTGGCCCCCCACCTGCAGCAGTGCATCCTGGGGCCTGTGGTGTGGCAGAAGTCGGACACAGTCAGGTAGTGCTGGCACATCATTGATTTGTATGGTCCAGTTAGTTTTAGGGGGGTTAAACGTTAAACATGTCACTCCGAAAACCAGATTTGGATTACTAACAGCAACATTGCTGGCATAAAACCAGATACTCACTCATTCACCCAAGTTTGTGTAAAGTGCAGGGCCCCGTTCCTCAAAACGATCGTAGCGTTAAGATGATCGTAACTCCCATACTTTAACATACACTTACGACTGTAGGAACACTACGTACGCGTTGAGGAATGGGGCCCTGGACAGTGTGTTTCACATTATTTAGATCTGTGGTAGGTCTTTTCTTTGAGAAGACAGCAAAACTAATGATCTTGTGCTCAGTACATGAAAGCACTCGGTGATGATGTTTTCATGTTGCATTTACAAGCTGTTCTGTCAAGACAGGTAGAACTAATCAATTTCATCTTCTTTGTTATTCTTTCATGGCAAGGTAGCTTTTCAGATGCTAATACATTTATGTACAGTCAGATTGTGTTGTAGAACTGATGTTTAAACATCTGGAAGGGATTGTTGTTATATGGCTACATGTGTTGATGTTTAAATATCTGGAATGGATTGTTGTTATATGGCTACATGTGTTGATGTTTAAACATCTGGAATGGATTGTTGTTATATGGCTACATGTGTTGATGTTTAAATATCTGGAAGGGATTGTTGTTATATGGCTACATGTGTTGATGTTTAAATATCTGGAAAGGATTGTTGTTATATGGCTACATGTGTTGATGTTTAAATATCTGGAAGGGATTGTTGTTATATGGCTACATGTGTTGATGTTTAAATATCTGGAAGGGATTGTTGTTATATGGCTACATGTGTTGATGTTATATGGCTACATGTGTTGATGTTTAAATATCTGGAAGGGATTGTTGTTATATGGCTACATGTGTTGATGTTTAAACATCTGGAATGGATTGTTGTATATATGTGTTGGTTTAAATATCTACATGTGTTGATGTTTAAATATCTGGAAGGGATTGTTGTTATATGGCTACATGTGTTGATGTTTAAATATCTGGAAGGGATTGTTGTTATATGGCTACATGTGTTGATGTTTAAATATCTGGAAGGGATTGTTGTTATATGGCTACATGTGTTGATGTTTAAATATCTGGAAGGGATTGTTGTTATATGGCTACATGTGTTGATGTTTAAATATCTGGAAGGGATTGTTGTTATATGGCTACATGTGTTGATGTTATATGGCTACATGTGTAGATGTTTAAACATCTGGAAGGGATTGTTGTTATATGGCTACATGTGTTGATGTTTAAACATCTGGAAGGGATTGTTGTTATATGGCTACATGTGTTGATGTTTAAACATCTGGAATGGATTGTTGTTATATGGCTACATGTGTTGATGTTTAAACATCTGGAATGGATTGTTGTTATATGGCTACATGTGTTGATGTTTAAACATCTGGAATGGATTGTTGTTATATGGCTACATGTGTTGATGTTTAAACATCTGGAAGGGATTGTTGTTATATGGCTACATGTGTTGATGTTTAAACATCTGGAAGGATTGGATTGTTGTTTATATGGCTACATGTGTTGATGTTTAAATATCTGGAAGGGATTGTTGTTATATGGCTACATGTGTTGATGTTTAAATATCTGGAAGGGATTGTTGTTATATGGCTACATGTGTTGATGTTTAAATATCTGGAAGGGATTGTTGTTATATGGCTACATGTGTTGACATCTGGAAGGGATTGTTGTTATATGGCTACATGTGTTGATGTTGGCTACATGTGTAGATGTTTAAACATCTGGAAGGGATTGTTGTTATATGGCTACATGTTGATGAATTGGATTGTTGTTATCTATGATTGTTGTTATATGGCTACATGTGTTGTTAAAACATCTGGAATGGATTGTTGTTATATGGTTACATGTGTTGATGTTTAAACATCTGGAATGGATTGTTGTTATATGGTTACATGTGTTGATGTTTTAAACATCTGGAAGGGATTGTTGTTATATGGCTACATGTGTTGATGTTTAAACATCTGGAATGGATTGTTGTTATATGGCTACATGTGTTGATGTTTAAACATCTGGAAGGGATTGTTGTTATATGGCTACATGTGTTGATGTTTAAACATCTGGAATGGATTGTTATATTGTGTTGATGTTTAAACATCTATATGGCTACATGTGTTGATGTTTAAATATCTGGAAGGGATTGTTGTTATATGGCTACATGTGTTGATGTTTAAACATCTGGAAGGGATTGTTGTTATATGGCTACATGTGTTGATGTTTAAACATCTGGAATGGATTGTTGTTATATGGCTACATGTGTTGATGTTTAAACATCTGGAATGGATTGTTGTTATATGGCTACATGTGTTGATGTTTAGATATCTGGAAGGGATTGTTGTTATATGGCTACATGTGTTGATGTTTAAACATCTGGAATGGATTGTTGTTTTATGGCTACATGTGTTGTTGTTTAAACATCTGGAAGGGATTGTTGTTATATGGCTACATGTGTTGTTTGATGTGTTCCCACCTACAGGTCTGTGAAGAAGTCCAGCAAGTCTTCCAAACAAACCGAACATCCCGAGTGGGCGAGTGTCAGAACAAAACTAGACGAGTGTAAGCTCCAGGCCTATAAGTAAGTAGAACTGTCTGCAGGTAACTCTAGACTATAACCTCGTACCTCACTTTCCATGCTGTCGTTTCACCGGCTAGACGTAGGTCCACTTCGACGAACGTTGAATTTCCCTAAGCGACAATGAGTGTTTCAGAAACAGCTACTGTATGTATGGTTCTCTTTTTTCCCTGCACGGGCGATTTGGAGGGATTCAATGGGTGGCTTGGCCGCTGTCCGGAATCGCCTCCAAGCGAGCGGAATTCCTGCACCAGTTGCAGACACAATTCTGGCTTCGCGGAGGGATTCGACAAACGTTCAATATGAGGATAGATGGGCCTGTTATTCACGCTGGTGTGTCAACAGGGGGATTCTTTTCTGCAGATTTAGTCTGTGTGTTGGAATTCCTCCAGTCTCGGTTGGATGCCGGTCTAGCGGCTTCAACTGTTTGAATGCTTATAAGTACCCCAAGGAGGAATATATTCAAAGAATCTGAAACCTCTACAGGTTAGTTCGAATTTGTATTCCTAATATATGATATTAATGATACGGAAACACACTCGGTTAATAATCTCTATTTATCACTGTGTTTTAGCAATATTCAGATGTTACTGTCACATTCCAGATTCTGGGTAGACCACATCACGAAGGTGTCTGTGTCTGAGTTTTCTAAAGCCTTACATGCGGAGGACCTCAGCTCTGTTGTCGAACATGCTACGGTAAATATTTACAGGGTAGATCAGTGAGAGAGTGCTATACACTGAAGTATAGGTGCATTTGTGTGAGTCTGTAGTGTGAAGTTCAACATTCTGTTAATACCCCAAGTTTCATATTCTAATGAAAACATCCTTCAAATTGTCTGTGAATATCCATCAGGGCTCCAGATAAGGGCCGTATCGGCGTATGTACGGATATAAAATATGCACAATACGGTAGGAAATAATTTAGAAAACGTAGCAGATACGCACTACAGCAATGGTGTACGGTCTTAGAATCATTTACAGACGTATGTTTATCCCCCGTTTTGCGGGGGGTATTAAAATGGACTCCGTCCGTCCGTCTGTGCGTCCGTGCACATTTGTCTTTTCTGGAGCATAACTCTAAAACGGTTCAATATGTCTTCACCAAACTTGGCACATAGATAGATCTGGTGGGATACTGGTGCCTTTTGGTAGTTTTGGATTTGTAAATACAATATTTTTTGCGTTTCCATGGCAACAATGTTGGCTTCAACTGAATTTGGTGGTAGTGCTCCTTTCTGGAGCAGAAGATTGAAACCTTTCAGTACTCTCCTTCCACTTAGACATAATCATAACTCGTAGACATATTCTTGAAGAGTATTTAGCCATTGAGGGGGATATTGATGACTTTGTCTTCTTGTTTTTAAAAGTATTGTTTTATTGTTTATTGACCTGTTTACATAAGAGTAGCAATGTTGTGGTGCATATATGAAACGAAACACAAGATTACTGATACTCCTGTAATTCCAACTAGTACTCTAAATGTACTCTTAAGGTTTTCCAGTACTCCTCTGTTGGAAATATGAGGAGTACATACTCCTGATGTTGAAAAATTATCTGGAGCCCTGATCCATATAAGACAAATATAGTCAGTGATAAAGTATCATGGGATATTGAGAATGAGTCCATTAACATTGTACTGTAAAAAACTGCTTTGTCACTGGTAATTTTAATCTTGATTACATAACATGTGTTTATGTGATGATGGTGAAGTCATCTGTGTTGTACAGATGGGATGATGGTGAAGACATCTGTGTTGTACAGATGAGATGATGGGAAGTCATCTGTGTTGTACAGATGAGATGATGGTGAAGTCATCTGTGTTGTGTGTTGTACAGATGGGATGATGGTGAAGTCATCTGTGTTGTACAGATTGGATGATGGTGAAGTCATCTGTGTTGTACAGATGGGATGATGATGAAGTCATCTGTGTTGTGTGTTGTACAGATGGGATGATGGTGAAGTCATCTGTGTTGGGATGATGGTGAAGTCATCTGTGTTGTATGTGTTGTACAGATGGGATGATGGTGAAGTCATCTGTGTTGTACAGATGGATGATGATGGTGAAGTCATCTGTGTTGTGTGTACAGATGGGATACAGAGTGGTGTTGGGATGATGGTGAAGTCATCTGTGTTGTGTGTTGTACAGATGGGATGATGGTGAAGTCATCTGTACAGATGGGATGATGGTGAAGTCATCTGTGTTGTGTGTTGTACAGATGGGATGATGGTGAAGTCATCTGTGTTGTACAGATGGGATGATGGTGAAGTCATCTGTGTTGTGTGTTGTACAGATGGGATGATGGTGAAGTCATCTGTGTTGTACAGATGGGATGATGGTGAAGTCATCTGTGTTGTACAGATGGGATGATGGTGAAGTCATCTGTGTTGTCTGTTGTACAGATGGGATGATGGTGAAGTCATCTGTGTTGTACATATGGGATGATGGTGAAGTCATCTGTGTTGTACAGATGGGATGATGATGAAGTCATCTGTGTTGTGTGTTGTACAGATGGGATGATGATGAAGTCATCTAACAGATGGATAGATTGTGTGTTGTACAGATGATGATGTGAAGTCATCTGTGTTGTGTGTTGTACAGATGGGATGATGGTGAAGTCATCTGTGTTGTACAGATGGGATGATGGTGAAGTCATCTGTGTTGTGTTTTGTACAGATGGGATGATGGTGAAGTCATCTGTGTTGTACAGATGGGATGATGGTGAAGTCATCTGTGTTGTGTGTTGTAGAGATGGGATGATGGTGAAGTCATCTGTGTTGTGTGTTGTACAGATGGGATGATGGTGAAGTCATCTGTGTTGTGTGTTGTACAGATGGGATGATGGTGAAGTCATCTGTGTTGTATGTTGTACAGATGAGATGATGGTGAAGTCATCTGTGTTGTAGAGATGGGATGATGGTGAAGTCATCTGTGTTGGGATGATGGTGAAGTCATCTGTGTTGTGTGTTGTAGAGATGGGATGATAGTGAAGTCATCTGTGTTGTGTGTTGTACAGATGGGATGATGGTGAAGCCATCTGTGTTGTGTGTTGTATAGATGGGATGATGGTGAAGTCAGTAGTATTGTGTTGTACAGATGGGATGATGGTGAAGTCATCTGTGTTGTGTGTTGTATAGATGGGATGATGGTGAAGTCATCTGTGTTGTGTGTTGTACAGATGGGATGATGGTGAAGTCATCTGTGTTGTGTGTTGTACATATGGGATGATGGTGAAGTCATCTGTGTTGTGTGTTGTACAGATGGGATGATGGTGAAGTCATCTGTGTTGTGTGTTGTACATATGGGATGTTAGTGAAGTCATCTGTGTTGTGTGTTGTACATATGGGATGTTAGTGAAGTCATCTGTATTGTGTGTTGTAGAGATGGGATGTTAGTGAAGTCATCTGTGTTGTGTGTTGTACATATGGGATGTTAGTGAAGTCATCTGTGTTGTGTGTTGTAGAGATGGGATGATAGTGAAGTCAGTAGTATTGTGTTGTAGAGATGGGATGAGGTGGACATACAGGAGGAGACAGAGGAGGGAAAGAAGCACAGCTCTAAGATCATGGTTCCCATGCAGGTGAGCAATCTTACATCAGCTTGTTACCCACCTGTTACTTGTGAGGAGTTACTAGTTATAGAATTACTGATTCATCACAATTGTCCATAGTGTTCAGATGTCAATAACTGACTTTGATGCATCAATTTTGTACACATGTACTAGTGGGGGGTCAGGAATTTTAGTACATAAAAATATTTAAGAATTGTGCTTTAAAGAAACATTTACACACAATAGATTTAGCTACAATATGAGCCATTGGTGACAAATATGAAAGTCACACATTGGGAACTATCATGTTTGAAATCTTTAAATAGCATGCCTTAGCGATTCTGAAACAAAATCCATCTTAAAAAAACCCACAAATTATTTGGTTGTATCTATTTTCATGTTATTGCAGTTGTATCACAATAGTGTTTTTCTTATCAAATTCCAACAGTTGTTTTACAGTAAAAGTGTGTCCACAGTGATTTAAACTATTTCCTTTTTATTGCAATCATGGAAATGCGCTAATTATCATGGTTATGTACACACACTGCAGTATATGTGGTTGTCTTTCTCTCCCCAGCCATCCTGGTATCTTCACTCACTGTTGTTTGACCTGTGCCAGGATCTCAACAAAGTTGGGGGCCAAGCACTGTCCAGGTAGGTTATCAACATTGGTGTTCATTTGTAAGTGAAGATGTTGAAGTGATTATTTTCTTGATTGTAAACTAGCAATACTTTTGTTTAATGTCTTTTGAAATAGACTGGTTTCTCATTTTATGTGATAATCGTATTATTTCATTTCTAGGTCAGTTGTACAAGACTTGTTACACAAAATAACTGATGGGATCATCAATGTTTATCAAGAGTTTGTAAAGGGAGGTAAGCGGCGAGTGAGAAAGAGTGGTCTCCCTTTGACCCAACAGCAAGCACTTCAGTCCCTTTTCGATGTCAGATATCTGCTTCAGATTATACCAAGGAAGGATGACACAAAGGTATGGATCTCAGGGACAACAATAATCTGATCTAACACTGTTAAGATAGCTTGTGTACTCACAAATATCTTGTCACATGATAGAAGGGTGTGAGTATTGTGTATGTTTTGTTCATGAATGGGGAATGTTACCAGATTGTGATGTTGCAGTATGCTTGCAAGATCTGTTTTTAAACCCAATTTGGATGATCTCTCAACCCAGTCTGAAGGAAAGCCCAAAGTCTGAAGGAAATTTCAGGAAAAGTTTCCTATTGATGTTAAGAATTTTCAACATGTATGTCATGTCATCCAAACGAATAGTATGGTTTTGTAGAGGTGACTTGTAGCTCACTGACCATTCAGAGGAAGAGGCTTATTGTATGGCATTGACTCTAATGTCAAGATACATCCCGAACGTAAGAGAATAAGAACCTGCTTTAAGCATTGTAAGAATATTTTCCCAAGATGCCTGATAAACGTACTTCTTTTGGAAACCTTGATCCATCTTTGTATGTGAAAATCACCACAGTTGATGGTAACTAATCTGGGATGTATTTTAGTTCATGATCATAATGGTTGGATGGTTTTCATATTATGCCGGGCAGGTGATATTTCCAACCCAATATTTTTCAAATGTTCTTATTTCTCCAGACCAGCAAGACATTCCAGAAGAAAGCTCAGTCTATCTGTGAGTCCCTGGAGGAGGTGGTCGACCCCTTCGACTTGGATGTGTTCTCTCCCTACATGCAGGTCAACCTGCACAGACAGAGCCAGAGGACCGCAGTAAGTACATAGACAGAATACAGACATATTACAGCTTAGACTAGAATAGATTTCCCCAAGTCTGCTGTGGGTGTGGAACCATGGTATGTGTTGTCTAAGCACTTGCAAATCCAGTGAACGTTTAAGCATGTTATGGTTATCTGTGATCTAACAGAGTGATATCATCACAAGTTCTACTTTATGTAATCAACATATGCTATTTTCCTAGATTAATAATAATTTTCCTGGTGTGCTGTACCAGTGTAGATTTTGAAAGGCAAACTACAGAATCCTTATGTCTATATTTCTCTTGCAATGTAGTAGTAGTGAAGTATTTGGCACTCATCAAGGATTGTATCCCAGACTGACTGCTGCATGCTAAATAGTTATTCTTCCTTCTTTGGCACAAGGAATTTTCTCTTCCCTGAGTAAAGGATTATTCAAGTTTTTGTGAGAGTTTTGTTTAAATCTGAAATATTAGCAGATGTGAACTTGTTGAATGTTAGTACAGTTTTCTGTGTGATATTTTATGATGATGTCAGTAACTGCCTTGCTAAGACATGTTGATGACTTGCAGGTGATATTTGGTTCCCTGGCTGCCCTGGACAAGCAGAGTATTCTGTCCACAGGGAGGGCACCTGCTGCTGGTCAACACGAGCAGCACAATGTCCTGCCTTTGTCCTCCTGTAATAGCAGATTCCCACTGCTGCCACTCAGCACCCAGCAGAACAGGTCTTCCATGCAGAGTTATGTCCCCTCACAGACCATCACTAGGGTAAGTGAGTAAGTGAGTGAGTTTAGTTTTACGCCGCACTCAGCAATATTCCAGCTATATGGCGGTGGTCTGTAAATAATCGAGTCTGGACCAGACAAACCAGTGATCAACAGCATGAGCATCAATCTGCGTAATTGGGGACCGATGACATGTGTCAACCAAGTCACCGAGCCTGACCACCCGATCCCGTTAGTCGCCTCTTACGACAAGCATGGCTTACTGAAGGTTCATTCTAACCCAGACCTTCACGGGTCCTAGGGTAAATGAAGTCAATATCACTCAAAACAAGCAAACAGTAGTGTAAGTGATGTCAGAACATCCTGTTTCCCCTAAAGTAGAGCAGGTTCTTACTGCAGACTTATGCTTCCACATAGATAATCACTGGGTTAAGTTATGTGTCAAAATATCCTTGTCTTCAAAAACAGAGCAGGTCCTCTCTGCAGATTTACATCCCTTCACAGATATTCTACAGTAATGTGTGAAAATGTCCTCAATGTCCTCATTGTCCCCTGAAACAAATCAGGTTATCCCTGTAGCGGCTATGTCACAGACAATCAGTAAGTGAAGTGTCACAATGAGTCTCCCCTAAAACAGAGAACTGAATCCTTTGTCCATGTCCACTCACACTATCACCATTTATCTCTATACAACCTACTCATACTTGCATAACGCTCTACTTGACAGGGACTAGACTCAGGAAATCAGTCGCTGACATTGGCAGTGGAGGCTGTGTTGCCGAGGTCGTCCTCGCAGACCGATCTCAGCAGCTCCCTCTATGACAAACTTGGCAGCATGGGTTCTCGGTTCTTCTCCAAGCTCCAGGACAAGTGATCTGGGTGAGCCTCAGCTACTGTTTTGTTGGACTTCTCATGTGTGGGGTTCGGGAGAGCAATGTTGTGTTTAGGTAGAGCTAATTGCTTTGCAGAGTTGGGTCCCTTACACGTGCGAAATCTTCAATCATTGGTTCAAATCCCAGTTTGACCGGATTATTTTTATAGGTTTGTCATCACCTTGCCTGTATTTATAGGTGTCGGCAACACCTTCATCACTTCTTTCTTTTCTCCCACATCACACTGTCATCCCATGATATAGTTTGAATGTTGTTCAACTCTTGCACCCATTCGCACACTCACAGATGGACTCTCAAAGTTGAACTATTTGAATGTGAGGTTTTGTTGCAAGCTCTGGTACCTCTTTCATGCAAGTTGACCCCCTTTAAGAACTTAAACTCCTGATAACGAACCTATGCTGCCAGCATTAGATATGCCTTTGAAGCCTATGCTTTCAGACATTACTGTGGCGGATCCAGATGGGGGGTTCAGGGGGTACGGACCCCCCACCCCCCTTTTAGAAAATGTCTAAAGACCACATTGAAGTTTATGTTTTGCAATGGCAGAGACAAGGTGGGGATCAGGGGGTTTGAACCCCCTGAACCTCCCCCTTTGAAACTTTCTGGATCCGCCTATGCATTACACATGCTTGGGCCCTTCATTCTTTGCAGGTCTATGTTCAAAGTAACTTTTACTCCTCGGGATGCTGGGCTTTAAAACTGAACACAGCAATAAGCCTACAATTATCTATGACATGTGTTGATTATTATAATAACATGTGAGTCTGTTAGATGTACAGATTCTTACCGTGCTAATAGGGCAGGTGAAACCTCAAGTATTATATCTAGAGCACTCTCTGGAATCTACTAAGTAGAACAGTCATTGTTACATTGTACTTAACTTTTGCATATGTTTCTTTCCTCTTAACCATGTGTGCTGGGGAAAACAGTTACGGCTTGTCCTTACATAGTTTCGTTTAACAACAATTTATTTTTATGAATACACAATACCATTTACAAAGTGGTCAAATGTAACACATGTTATATTTGGGGTTACACTTTCTCAGTAAAGTAAAGATTCTAGTATCGTCAAGTCACACAAGTTCGATCGTCATGTAACTTCGATCGCCCACTTTGAATGGTAATTGTCGCAATACGTAGCGATAACTTACGATATCTGCAGCTTTGATCTTCTGGTGACACCACTTTCATTCGTTTGGACCGGAAATTTGTTCGTGTCAAGTTGCCAAATGTAAGTTATAGCTCATTTTCAGCAAACAACTACTTTTTAACCCTAGATCAATAATGTAACTTTATCAGCTCAAATAAAATGTAAACAGTATAAATTTCACACGTTGTAAATTGACAGCACCCCTGTCTTCTGTTTGTTTACGTTGCTGGTCTAACTGTGACATGTCCAGACACGTGATATCCTTGTCAAAATATATAACTTTGGAAACAAGTAAGGGCCATTTCTTATAGAAAACTTAATGCTTTTTGAGAATTTCCGTGAATATGTACCTGATGAAGTTCGAGCTATTGCCTCATTGATAAATACAACCTGGGCACAGTGTACCCACCCTACATGTCAGCACAGAACACATTTACGTTTCTGCAAGCCAGTTCGTGGTGTTTGTCTACATTCTGAGGTTTGATGCCCGTCACGATGAGCCTGAAGAATAATTCCCTGCATAATACTTGTATATAAGCTGAATATTTGTGACTTTTCATCGTTTTTAGAAGTACTGAAACATAAAATGATCGTTTCATGGACATAAATCCATAAAATTACTTGGGACTGCTCTAGCTCTGAATTTGACACAAGAGATCGTCCTTACAAGTCATCCTGTTTACGCGACAAGCCAGCCAATCATATGATCGAACTTATGTGACGTAGCTTTCTGGGTCACTTGTGTTGACAGTGAGAGGGCAGCCATGCTGCGATTGTGAAAAGCAGTAAAAATACCTGGATTTTGGAAATGTTTGACATAAATAAACAAGTTTAGAGGTAAGAGATTTGAAAATAAGATTATATGAATAAAACTTTGAAAATTCAGCGACAGTTCTTAAGTGATCGAACTTACATGACACAAGGATACTTTTATTAGGTTGAGTCCCATTTAGGATCCCAACCCACACTCTCAGAGTCAGCTGCAGGCACCTAAGAGAGCACACAAAGTCAGCCATCTAACCCAATCAGGGTTATATTTCTATTTTCCAGTAGTTTATTGCCATTGTCTTGTCTGACTCATCTTTCAAACAGAAACCTAATGCATTGACAGTGTACATTGTATCACTTTCAGTCAGCCCTTTTTGAAGTGGCAAGAGTTACCTCCCTTCAACTGTATAATGTGCTAATGGTCTATTGTGAGATGTGTTGACATAACATTTTCACATCTACTCCTCTCAACCCATTAACTGATTAGTGATAGCAAGCCAAACCCATCTTCTCAGTGATGTTCTGAGTGCTCTGCCCTTTACAGGAAACCTAAACATTGTTCAATAAGACTGCGAGGAAAGGTTTGTACAACACGATGAACTGATGAACAAATGTTGAAAAACATGAACAGTACAAAAGAATATGTGTAAATTCAGTGGTTAAAAATTGGAATTAAGCCTTCATATGCTCTGTGATTTTGGTAACAAGGATGTTATTGTTTGAAAAATTACCTTATTAGTCCAGATTGTGTTTTTCCAATTCATATTTTACCTGACTTAAAGTTTTGAATATTTTATAATGATACCAGTTGCAGGATATTAACCTCAAATCAACCCTGACAATAAATGTTATGTATGCTCTGATGTGTGTGCTGAAGAAAGTTTGTAAATAAAAACTGATAACTTTGTCGTAAGGTGGTATAGTTATTGTTGAGGTCAACATTCAAATATTTCTTTGTATTGTGTTGAGGTCAATATGCATACTTTTCTTTATGTTATGTTGTGTTAGGAGGTCAATATACAATCACTTCTTTGTGTTGTGTTTTGGTCAGTATACAACCATTTCATTGTGTTTTGGTCAGTATACAACCATTTCATTGTGTTGTGGTCAGTATACAACCATTTCATTGTGTTGTGGTCAGTATACAACCATTTCATTGTGTTATGGTCAGTATACAACCATTTCATTGTGTTATGGTCAGTATACAACCATTTCATTGTGTTATGGTCAGTATACAACCATTTCATTGTTGTGTATACAACCATTTCATTGTGTGGTCAGTATACAACCATTTCATTGTGTTATGGTCAGTATACAACCATTTCATTGTGTTGTGGTCTGGTATACAACCATTTCATTGTGTTGTGGTATACAACCATTTCATTGTGTGTGTGGTCAGTATACAACCATTTCATTTCATTTGTGTTATGGTCAGTATACAACCATTTCATTGTGTTGTGGTCAGTATACAACCATTTCATTGTGTTGTGGTCAGTATACAACCTATTTCATTGTGTTATGGTCAGTATACAACCATTTCATTGTGTGTATACAACCATTTCATTGTGTGGTGGTATACAACCATTTCATTGTGTTATGGTCGGTATACAACCATTTCATTGTGTTATGGTCAGTATACAACCATTTCATTGTGTTGTGGTCAGTATACAACCATTTCATTGTGTTTTGGTCAGTATACAACCATTTCATTGTGTTATGGTCAGTATACAACCAATTCATTGTGGTGTGGTCAGTATAGAACCATTTCATTGTGTTGTGGTCAGTATACAACCATTTCATTGTGGTGTGGTCAGTATACAACCATTTCATTGTGTTGTGGTCAGTATACAACCATTTCATTGTGGAGTGGTCAGTTTACAACCATTTCATTGTGGTGTGGTCAGTATACAACCTTTTCATTGTGTTATGTTGTAATGAGGTGAACATACACAAATGTCTGTGTTGTGGTGTGTATTTGAACCTAAGATTTTGTTTTCACCTTGGATTTTGAATCTGCTCACTATGAATTTCACAAATATGGAATCAAATTGTAAATACAGATATGAGTAATTCCCATTCTTGCCGAGTCTGGTAGTACATACCACAACTAAAACAATGGCGCTAACATAAATGGTACAGCAGGGATTATGGGATTTATTTGACGTATCGTGCTAGGTTATGACCTGTGACAAAAATGCTTCATGCATATATTTTCGCATTAAACATCGTGTCCGGGCGTGAAGATTGAGGTGGCGATACCGATTCGTACGGGGAAAAGGGCCGACTTATACTTGAGTTGCATGGTTTTGGCAAGAATTTAGAGGGTTGAGAAAGGGGCCCGACTTATAGTCGGATCCGACTTATTGTCGGTCATATACGGTATGTGGGTGTCCTGGTTTGGGAACCCTCTGTAATACATGTTAAACTTATTTAATTTGCTGACTACACAGTTTGGTGTTAAACAAAGAATAAATCACAAAGCCCTAACCTCATTTCGTGATAAATATACAGCTCAGATTATGTCTCATTACAAACTATCTGTATATCTAATATTTGTAATGTGTAATTCTATATGGGTGTAGTATAATACCATATTGACAGGTTGGCTATATACCATCATATCACATGGTGCCAGTAGGAGGTCTGAGGAGGAATCCCATTTCCTATATTGATGCAGGAGTGTCACATATCACAGATGTATGTGACAGCTCTATCACACAACAGTTTTGAACAATATTATGTTTCAAATTGAAATCTTTTCACATCACAAAATGGGATAGTGATAGTGTAAACTGAGATTAAACCGTGCATGCAGCAGTGATTTGTTTGTTGTTTAACACCACCCACAGCAATATTCCAGCAATATTAGCAAGACGGTAGTCACAGCGGGCTCATCATTCTCTTCCCACAGAGGTTACTCCTGTCATATCTTCCTACGAACCTCTGTTCTAATACGGCCATATTTCCCGGTTCTCGTAAAATCCCCTAGCGGCAAAAGATCGCAACACGAATTATCTCCCTTCTTTCTATCCAATCAGAACACGTGTTACATCGACTTAGATTCAACT